TGTGTGTGTGTGTGTGTGTGTGTGTGTGTGTGTTTGTGTTTGTGCATCTAGGGGCTGGAGCCCAAACAAATTTGTGTATCAGCAGAAGCTGTCCAAATATCTGAAACTGGCTGATGAAGATTCATTAGAGATATTCAATTTTATATTTTTCTTCATTGTTTTACCAAGTGGAAAATTTCTTTACACACACACACACACACACACACACACACACACACACACACACGTGCTTGCAAGAACACACAGACATACAGTATACACAGCACGTATGCTGATGTATGCACATTTCCTGGAAAAAGTCAGAGTGTTCTACGTTGCTGCTTCCTGCCCTGCAGTGCATTTAATCCAAACCAGAGAGAAGAAGCCAGAAGAGGAAAATAACAGTCGTCTCACTCTACATTTGAGACTCTGTGGACTATACTGTATTTATCTGCTCTATCTAAGAGAAACCATCGCATAATGAGCCATCAAAAATGTCTTCTCTCACCATATATGGTGAAAAGACTTCTTTCTCCTCCACTTCTTCAGTGATTATTTGTCTCTTAACATTTTCTGAAATAACAGACAAAATTAGGTTAAACAGCTTAAACCCGCTCAAGCATCAGCTAAAAGCTGGCTATAACATTTATTGCCACTTGTTGAAACCATAGAATTCAAGTACCTGTTTGTGTTGGGGCAGGATGTTCTTCCTCCTTTAGATTTTTAATGAAAACATTACTGGGGGGTCTAGTCGGGGTGTAGGGCTCTTTAGGTGGCACAGGAGATGAGAATTTGTTACTTAGAGGCTTCTTAGTGGCTGCTGCTCGGTTTAGTCTAGGCTTTGCAGTCATTTTAGTAGCTACAGGACTGCTGGGGTTTAATTTTGTTATAGACTTTGGTAAAAGCAAAGGAGAGGGCACCTTTTTGCATTTAGACTTAGAAGAAGCAGACGTGGATGCTTTACTTTGAAGCGTGAATGATGATTGTGAATGTGGGGTTGATGCCTTAGAGGATAACAGAGGACTCTGAGGGGATATGGATCGAGATCTGGGGGAGAGAAGTGGGCTTCCTGTCACCTCTGATTTTGGTTTAGGGGATGATGAAGGGGTAGTAGCATCATTTGAAAGGGTTTTCAGAGTTAGGGAATTTCTGGATGTTTGCCGAGATGTGTTGAGAAAGTCAGAGTTAAGCCGTGGGAGGCTCTGAAACTTATCCCCAAACAACTCCACAGAACGAACCTGAAAAATAGGAAACGAGATTCTCGAGTTTAAGTTTGGAAATGTATCTATGGAGCGTCAGCAACCAGTGGCAGATTTGCAGTGTGGTGCAACACTGCCCCCTATTGATATAATACAGGTCATAAAAGTTTTCCAAGGGGTTCTGCAAGCATGGGTTTCAAATGTTTAACGTTTTATTATCGCATAAAATACACTTAAATACCTGTTTCATGACTGCACAGGTCAAATAAAAAAGAAAAGAAAAAAATCAATTCCACCCCAGCACCTTTACTGATTTCTTTTTTCAACATGCTTGCATGTTTATCACACTCAGGTCCTCAAATACAATTTAATATTAGACAAAGATAACCTGACTAATTACAAAATGCACTTTTTAAATTCATTAAGGAAAAAAGATATCTAAACATGCCTGGCCCTGTGTGAAAAAGTAATCTGCACCCTTGTTGAATCATGAATTAACTGTGGTCAACCACATTTTTTTGGAAGTCTGATCCATCCATTGGAGAGCACCAAGGAGAAAACCACTGCTGATCTAAAACAACACAAAGGTTCGTCTCACTTTTGCCAAAAAACATCTTGAGAACCATCAAGACTGAAATCCAATGGAGATCCAAAATGCTAGAAAAAAACCCTCCAATGTGGCTGAATAAAAAAAAACATCCTGCAGAGTAGAGTGGGCTAAAATCCCTCTGCAGAGATGTAAAAGACTTATTGCCAGTTATCACAAATACGTGAATGCAGTTCTTGCTGCCCAAGTGTGGCACAACCAGTTCTTAGGTTTAGGGGGCGATCATTTTTTCATTCAGGGCCAAATAGGTTTGGGTAACTTATTTCCATGAATTAAACTATAACATAAAAAACAATTATTGTAGGGTCTACCTTACAATATAAAGCTCCTTGAGGCAACTGTTGATGTGATCTGGCGCTGTATAAATAAAATTGAATTGAATTAAGTGTTTTAAAAATGAGCAGTAAGTTGAGGGGTCTCACTCTGTCTCGGTGGCGTGCCCGGGCTGAGAGGGCTGAGAGTGGTGATGGTGGAGTTGGACTGATGAACTTGTTTTTAAAGATGATTTTGGTAAAACTTGACTCCAGAAAGTAGTCTGCGATTAAGACATCCTTCTCTGGCACCGCTTCTTGGCTCTCTGCTGGCCTGGGTGTAGCCAGGACCAGCATGTGGTGACCACCGCACGACACCTGACGGGGAGAGGACACAAGAAAACATCTTTGTTACATTTAGCTGATTCACTCTCAGTCTGCGCTTCACTCATTTACCTGCTGACATACAGGATATTACTCCCTCAAGGCTACAGCAAGATTGTTTTCGAGATTACGTTTTCCCTTACTTTGAGAGAAGTTTACCTCTGACGTATCTAAGAATACTGCTCCCTATGAACAATCAGCTGCCAAATAGGGGAAAGCCTGCAGTATGCAAAGAAAGGCGATATGATGTGACACTACACGATCCATTCAGAGCTCATTACTCATTTAAAGGCTGATCTCTGAAAGTATCCAGGTGCTGGCTGTGAGCACAGCTTCAGCTGCTCTTCCTGGGGTGATTGGTGAAGAATATTCTGTTATCGATCACTGATGGTGCTGTGGATACATCCTGCTGTAGTAGGCTTCCTGTTACAAGCTGTGGTGCCTCTCATACATTTTATGGCCTTTTTGGAGGGAGTTGACTGATTATGAAGATTACTTTTAAAGCCCTTCACATCACCTTCACTTACTGACTGAACAGCGTACTGAAGAAAACGTGTGCAGAGTGTCGGGCTGAACTGGTTGATGAAGTTTTCCTCCCCTAACCCGAGTTTTCCATGACGACCATCACCAAACGTGTACAGCAGCCCACTGTCTGTGGAGCAGGGGGGAGGATAAATGCATCAAACACAGACTGAAGGTTTTCTATCCTGGCTGAAGTCGTTTTGCTTTTAACGCATTTTATAAACAACAAAATCCTTGATTTTTATTTAATTCCCTTTTTAAATGCACATACTGAATGAAAAGTTTGAATACTGAATATTGGTTTTTAGTACATTGTTTGGCTGAAATTAGATTTATCATTTAGTTAACTGACAAAACTTTGATTTATCTACCTCCTTGAAAACTGACTCACATGTGGTGATAATCAACTGAATACCTCTAGAGGCAGACAACATCTGAGAAAGTTTATGAAATTAGTCACTTTAGGAAATTCTAGAGAAAGCTTGTGAGTTGCTGAACTTGCATTTGAACACCTCACAGTGGCAGACTGGCTGCTGTGTGATTAAACAGCACCTCAGTGACATGTTTATGCTGGATGGGGGAAAAAAAGATTCCACTTTGTCTTCATCATCAATTAATTTGTTTTATTTACCTCTCACTAATGGTACTTTTAACCTGATTACAGGTTTGTTGCTGCGTGTTTAATTATGCGTGGTACACAAGTCATATGTCCTAAAGAAGTTTGTTTCATGAATGTTTCTTGAACTTATCACAGAAAAACTTTTTTAACCCTCTACTTGCCCTGAGGCAACAAACCAATGTAGTGCAAGCTGCACTACATGGGAGACATCTCCATTAGGAAGCATGATAAAGATCACTATTTTACATGTTTATAGTGAAATAAATGTATATTGAAAAATACTTGTATGTGCATGAATATGTTAAGAAGCACATTTCATTGTTTGTTCTACTTTTTTCATTTTCATTCGTTGCCTCAAGGCAACACTGCGCAGTTAGCCCAATTTTTTTCAGGCAATATAATGCATTTGGATATGTGTGTAGAGATGTGTTTGTGTGCATTTATATGATCATAGTCAATGTTTTTTACTTTACAATCTACTCATAATTACAGGACATGGATGTAAAAACCTTTTTATGCAAGGAAACCAAGGGAATGTGCACTTTCTGTCCTCAGAAAGTGAGGACAGTGAGCTTTCAGGGAGTGACAGTGAAGTAGAGGAGTGGATCCCTGAATGAGGTTTGAGGGACACTTAGGAGCTCAGGGGTCAGTTGGTAAAGTAACTGTGTCTGTGTGTGTGTTAGTGCCCACATAGCAAGCAGGTCTGGCCAGGATCTGGTATCAAGCCGGCACTTTGAGTAATCTGGGAGAGTAGAAAAGCGCTACATAAAAATCAGTCCATTCACTGTCTGAACAGAGTTTCGGCATGTTACTTTTGCACTGTTTTGCATGTTCTGGCACATGTTGTTATTGCATGGCTTGATTAAGGTACACATTATGCTGACATCTGGGGCCAGAGCTGAAACCGTTCTGGGCCAGCACAGGGCCAGCAGTGTGTCTACAACTGGCCCGTGGCTGCACACCACCTACAGATGGCCCACATACCGCAATGAATAACGGCCCTTTGGTGGCCCAGATCAGGTTTGCCAGAGGTAATCCACACATGGGCCAGCACAGGACACCAGGGTGTCTGAAACTGGCCTTGTGCTGGCCCATGTGTGGGCCACCTCTGGCAAACCAGGTCTGGGCCACCAAAGGGCCGTCATTCTTTGCGGTATGTGGGCCATGTGTAAGCACATTGTGTGGGCCTGATCCCTGCCATACCAATATTGCTGTGTGGGTGTCAGTGTGTGTGGTCATGTATTACTTATTGTTGTGGGGACACAAATTTGTTTACACACTCATATTGTGAGGTCTCGCCTACTTTATGGGGACAAATTGCAAGGTAAATCATTCAATTTTAGGGTGAAGGCTTGAGTCAGGGTTAGGGTAAGGTTCAGGCAGGGACTTGTGATGGGTAGAGTCAGGATAAGTCTCCAGGAAATTAATGTAAGTTAATGTAATGTCCCCAAAAGTGATGGAAACACAACGTGTGTGTGTGTGTGTGTGCGTGCATGTGCGCGCGCGCACGTGCATGGGGTTAGGGTCAAATGTTGGATGTATTTTGGTGTTTTATTGTTTTGTGAAATGTTTACATTGTTTATTTGTTGTTTATTTATTTGTTCATCCTTGTTGTACTAATACAACTTATTATAGAATAACTTGGCATTTTACTACCCTTGTTGCACAGTGTTGCCTTGAAGCAACAAACCAATATCTGTTTGGGGGGGGGGCAGGGTGTCAAATTTTATGATTGATATATTATTAGGGACCCTAAAGCTCCCCCAAAATAGGGAGAAATATTTTTTTCCCCCAAAATTAAAAAGTCATGCAGTAGAGGGTTAAATAATTCCTTCCTTAAATCTTGTAGATATCGTTAGCTTCATAGCATAAGTGCCTAAGTCATTTTTTTGTGTTTTGTGTTTCAGACGGACAGGATGATGCAGCAGTGGTAGGGGAGTAAAGTTAGGCAAAAATCTCAATTTGACCAAAAAATGACTTAGGCACTTATGCTATGAAGCTAACGATATATTATATTCCAATAAAACAGTTATTATTGGCCTTTATATGCTTTCATATATAAAACATGCATGGACATCTAAAAAGGTGAATGGGCAATGCTACTTTTAAAGTCACAATGACCTTCAAAGATGGCTTACCTGTGACCACAGCTGTGTGGTTCTCTCCACACGCGATGTGTCTGACCTTGCTGTTACAAAAGTGCTGCAGTGCTTTTGGCAAATGAACCTCAAACAGAAAGGTTCCGTGGCCCAGCTGACCGTACTGACCTCTGCCGAATGTGTACACGTTCTTCTCTGGCACAGCAAAGCAGACAGAGGGAAAGAACCCTTTTGATTCAAAGCGATATATAGTACATTTACTCAACTACTGTACAAGAGCACTATTCTCAGGGGAATTTATTTTGATGTCCTTCTTCATTGTGTCTGTGCTACATTTGAGCTGAGATCACTTATTCTGTCCCTTAAAGTGTCTAATATAATCAAACAAGTTGAGTTCTGTGGCAGATTTTAAAGAAGGAAACACGATGTGATCACCACGTGTGTTTTACAGTTAAAATCAGCCGTACTTTGATCAGCTGACATTAAATGTTGCATACATATTAATGCATACAGTAAAAGCGATAGTATTTTCTCCTTATTTTTTCCATAATATAAGTAAGAAGTAAGTAAAATTTTATTTATATAGCACCTTTCAAGATAAAAATCACAAAGTGCTTCACAGAAGCTAAAACCTAAAAATAAAAATCAACAAAAGCAAGTTTAAAAAGATGGGTTTTTAGCTGTTTTTTAAAAGCGACCACTGAGTCCACAGATCTCAGGCTCAAAGGGAGAGAGTTCCACAATCTGGGGGCCACAGTTCCAAAAGCTTTGTCGCCTTTTGTTTTCAGCCTCGTGTGTGGACAGCAAGCAAGCCCTGGTCACATGACCTCAGGGACCTGCTGGGAATGTATGGATGTAAAAGTTCACTTATATATGTTGGTGCTTGTCCATGCAGAGCCCTGAAAGTCAAGGTCAAAACCTTAAACTGGATTCTGAATTTAACGGGGAGCCAGTGCAGCTGAATCAGCAGGGGTGTGACATGGGAAAACTTGGAGGACTTGGTCAGAAGCTTTGCAGCAGCGTTCTGAACAACTTGCAGACGCTCCAAAGAGGCTTTACATAAACAAGTAAACAAAGAATTACAATAGTCCAGACGAGATGAAACAAATGCATGAATGACAATTTCTAATTCGGAGCGCGATACAATGGGACTCAGCTTAGCAATGTTTCTCAAGTGATAAAAACAGGAGTGAACCAGAGATTTTACATGGGCATCCAAAGTCAGAGCTGAGTCAATACTAACACCAAGGCTCCTGATAGACGGTTTTGCAAATGTGAAAATCATTATCAGGCACACTGATACTTTTGCTTAAGTTAAAGACCTGAATACCTTTTCCATCGCTGTTTAACCAGCTCCTTTCACAGATGTTTTATGCTTTTCTTTAAAAATAAAAAATTGTTAACATACCTGTGAGGACCACTGTGTGCTCTCCTCCACAGCACACTCGGGTGACATGACCCAGGACTCCCTGCACCTGCTGAGGAATTCTGTGATTGGCCAGCTGCTCCTCCTGAAGACCGAGTCTTCCATTCGCACTCTCACCAAACGTGTAGAGACGACCATAAACTGGGACAAATCCAACACAATAAATGACACAAGTATTGAAGACTGGTTCATTTAACATTGGACCTACCGCAGTGATGCATGTGGCTGGACTGCGTTGTACCTGTCACAAAAGCTGAGTGCTTATACCCACAGGACACCCATATGACTGCTTCTCCAACGTGGACCTCTCTGGGTTCTGCAGCAAATCCCTCGTCCCCAAAAGCAATCTGACCCACAGAGTTGTCCCCCCACATGAACAGCCTCCCATCCTCTACCAACACACATACGTACATACACTTTACATATGCCCAGATCATCTTTTCTAGCAGAGAAACTTATTATATCGTCATTGTTCAAACCTGTTAAGGCGGCTGAGGTGTTGCATCCTGCAGAAAGCATTTTGATTGGTGCCCAGTCGCAGAAGGGGCGGAGCAGGTGAAAGTATGTAGACTTGTCACAATGGCCTAAACCCAGCTGCCCGTCCTGGTTGCTACCTGCACTGTATACACTGCCATGAACTAAATATACAAGTATACTCATTTTGAGGACAACAGTGTTCATGGAAACATCTCTCACATGTAATTATATATTTGTTTATTGTCTCACATGTGCAAACAATTGTGTGGTCTCTCCCACAAGCTGCAAGCTTCACCTTCTCAGATTTCAAGGCTGGAAAGGAAATGCAGTAATTATAGTGAGTAAAATGGCTTCAAAATACCACAATTATCTTCTTGTTAATGGACTAACAAATTCTTGTTCTGGTCATTAGTTAACAATTAAAAATAATTCAAATTTCTTTGTATTTTCTGTGATTAGAATCACAATACCAGAGGAAGCTATGTGGTCACATTTGCTCCAAGACAGTAAGAACAGTAACAATACAACACAACTGGTTACATACAAGTAATATATAAGTTACAAAATATAACAAAATAGCTTGAATAGATACAAATAGCTCTAATTATAAAGATCCCAGTATATAAAACTGTATTGCACTGTACTCTATATTTTGGGGCTTAGATTAACAAAAAAAGTCATGTGGGCTTATTTTGTGATGTGGGTTTTTTATGCTTTACACAAAAAATAACTAGTTTGATGCAATATGACCCAGCCACGGTGAAAATACTAACCTTTCACAGAGGTTGGTTTCCTGGCACTAGGCTTAATTCTCAACCCCAGCTGGCCCCATGTGTTGCCACCAAACATCAGCAACCTCCCATTTTCTGTAACGCCATTGCAGGCACAAAAAGAATGTTATTAGTGAACAATGTCAGCTTTCATTACTAAAATATACATACAGTGTACCTGTGATAACAGCAGAGTGCTCTCCGCCACATGACGTTTTCTTTGGATGGTCATTCTTCAGCCAGAACTTGCTGGGAACATTATTAGCGAAGCTGGTCCTTCCAAATGTGAAAATTGCTCCTGTTTCTGGTAACAGATGGACAAATACAGAGCTGTGCAAAGGTCTTCAGCGACCTCTCTTTTTTGTAATATATATTTCGCTATGAAAATGGGAAAGAGGTGCAGTTATCTATTGAAACATGCAAACATACATGGAAATACACCATTATAAGGCAAAAAAACAAGTCTGTGTAATTCTTACAAGCTTGAAAGTTGATATTAGACCACCTTTATTCTTAAACACAGTCTGAACTCTCACAGCCCCAAACCATGACACAGGGTTCACACAGGGTTTTACAGATGGTTGTACCTCTTTCCTGACCTCCTCTGTATTTTGGCAATTATTTGAACCAGAAATTTCAAATTTGGATTCATCACTGCATAAGAGCTGCTGCCAGACCAATTATTTTGCAATTTGACCTCAGCCTTTTCTCCTGGTTTCACTTCTTTAATAATGGCTTCTTGACAGCCACCCTTCCACCGAGAATATTTTTGATGAGACTTCAGTGAACAGTAAATGGATCAGCTGAAGGGCAGATGCATCTCTCAGTTCCTGTGTCAGGTCTTTGCTGGATTTCTTAAGGACATGATTTTCAGATACTGCTTATCTTCTGTAGATGGTTATTAAGCCTGCTACCTTCTTTTATCTTACAACTGTAAAGTTTCCTCAAATTTTTAAGAACACACTGCACACCATGATAAGATCTTTTTTAGGTTTTTGACAAATAGCTCTTTAGGAATCATCTTGTGGTTGCAACAATACTGTTTCATGCCTATCAAATATGTTTTCTTTGACATTTTTTATATGATTTAAGGTGCTAAAGAAATGGGAACAAATTGTGTTTTATGACAAGCTGTTAAATTAGGTGTCTTTTTAATGCTTGTGTTTCATAAGTCAGTGTTAACTGGCTTAACAACAATAACAAACAAACAAATAAAAATTAAAATATCCCCCTGAAAACGGTCAGGCATAGAGACTGGACTGAAAATAAATGAAACAGCAGCCAGTGTCCTAAAGAGAACTATTGCTTAAAGAAATGGTTTTAGGTGAGAAGCGGTTCAAGAATTTTGCACATTGCTGTCTGTGATTCATCTCTAGAAAGCCCAGGGACAGAAAGTTTAAGTACTTCCCGAACTTAACACCCACTAAATCCCAGCCAAGCCTGCTGTCAGAGCTCAAGCCATTTAAGTATCAGCAGGCTGACAGAAATAGAAACATGCTAACCGTGAGCAAAATGGGGCCTGTGTTAGGTATGATTAGGTGTGCATGAAGCCGAGGGCTTTATAATATGTAGCAAGGCTCACCCGGTATGTCGACATCGGTCTGCCCGGTCATTTTCACTGCTGGCTGTCTCCCTCACACCTCCTCACCCTGCGGCTCCCTGCTGATTAGGTAGATCAAACCCAGGAGGACAGGTGAGAGAGAGGGGGAAAGAGAGAGAGGCAGGAAGAGGCTTAGCCACAGGAAGATGCTGCATTACGGTCATTTTATTTTATTATATATTATTGTTCCCCCCAAAAAATATTCCCTGCTTCCCCAACAATAAACTTTGGGTAACCAAAGACATTAAAGCTGTACTGAACAAGAAAAAGACAGCTTTTAGAAACAGGGACGAAGAACAGTTGAAACTGGTGCAGAAGGAGCTTAAAGCCAAGATTGCTGAGGGAAAGGAGTCTTACAGAAAGAAGCTGGAAAGCAAACTCCAAGAAAACAACACCAGGGAGGTGTGGAAGGGAATGTGGGCCATTACTGGCCAGAGACAAAAGAAAGGTGTGGGAATAGATGGGGACGTTGAATGTGCAAACAAACTAAATCTGCCTGCGTCTTCTGTCTCCACTCCCAGCTCTTCCGATCTTCTCCATTTTCCTCCCCCCTGTCTTGCCCCCTCAGCCTGTCTCTCTTTGTCCCTCTCAGCAGATGAAATCACAAGGGAACTGGGCAGACTCCATTCCAGTAAAGCTGCTGGCCCTGATGGTGTGTGTCCCAGAGCCCTCAGGTGCTGGGCTGCCCAGCTGTCTGGAGTTCCAATTCAAATTTCAAAATCAAATTTTATTTGTCACACACACACACACACACACAACCATACACAGTATGACATGAGGTGAAATGGTTATTGCTGTGCAATGCCCGACCATTAAATTATAGAATTGACAGTAATATTTACAGATTACTACAAAAAATTACAGCTTTAACTTAGAAATTTACAGTAAGATGTGCAAATAACAGTTTATGTAAGAAATTATTAATAAAAAGAAATGATAAATTATAAGAAGCGTGCAAAAGGAAAAACCAGAGTGCGTGTGGAGATGTGAGGTGTGTGAAAGAGTCCAGTATTTTATGTAGTTCATATGTATAATCCACAGATTAAAACAGTTGTTTGGCTTAAAATTGTCGAATTTTTTCCAGGTTCCTGGAAAAATGGAACACGAGTTTTAAAGACAAGGTAGCCAGGGAAGCCAGAGACCTTAAAGAGACTTGTCTTTTAAAAAGATTGCTGAAATCGGCCTTGAACAAAGGAATGGATTATGCTGATGAGCCAGGTAGTGTCCCAAGGTATTTAGTATTTTAGTATTTATTTATTGTCATTGTCAAGAACAATGAAATTGCGTTTGGGGCTTCCATACAACCCAAAAAAAAGAAGAAAATAATAAATACCCCTTAAAACCCAAGTGTACATATTTAACCCAGTGTGACTCCAATGCAATAAGACAATCCTTAGCAATAATGTTCGTAGAAATTCAGACAAAGACCTGAGAAACATGACAAAATACAACAATGCAACCCATTCAATATTATTGTACTGTGAGATATGATATCAGATATGATAGTTATCTATTTAAGAAAGAGGGGGGGGCAGGAGGGGGAAGAGAATAAAGATATGATGCACCAATGCAGACCAGTTCATTGCTATTAAGAAGTTGGATATGGTTATTGTCCGTGAGAGGGGGGCAGAGAGTTCAGGAGCCTCACAGCCTGTGGATACAGGCTGTTGGCCAGTCTGGATGTTCTGGCCTGTATAGACCTGTACCTTCTCCCTGAGGGCAGCAGATGGAAAAGGTGGCGCGCAGGGTGATGTTGGTCCCGCAGGATACTGTGCACCCTCCTCAGACAGCGAGTGGGGAAGATATTACTGATCTCTGGCAGACTTGTTCCAATAATTCTGCCAGCTTCTTTCACCACCCGCTGGAGTGCTTGCTGATCGGCCTTGGTGCAGCTGGGGAACCACTACTAGAAATCCATACGTCAGAACGCTGCTGATGGCACAGTTGTAGAAGTTCAACATCAGAGATCTGGGAATGTGTGCGCTCCGCAGTCTCCTCAGGTAGTAGAGGCGCTGTTGGGCCTTCCGTGCAACTGAGGTGATATGGTTGCCCCAGGACAGGTCCTCGGTCACAGTCACCCTCTCCACCGCCTCACTGCCGATGAAGAGAGGCAGATGGTTGTTATGACCCCTAAAGGTAACACTTTATTAGTGTAGTGATTTTAGTTTTCATTTGTAAAAGTTATTTAAAAAACAGTAGTGTGCATTATGTGTGCGCTGATCTGGGTCATCCTCGTTGAGATGCTGCAGTAGCTGGAGTTTGTAAGGGTGCCATTTGTGAGTTATGCGTTTCTGGTACAGCTTCAGTCTATCTTGGGATTGATTGTACATGAAGAAAACTTATTGGGGGATGGAACAATCCATAAAAATATTCAGTGGTGTAGTGCTTTTATGCATGCATGTATTGAAACTGATCTGCCTGTGCCTCAAAAACTTACACAGGTTCTTTGTGGGATTTTCATGTAGTTTGTCACAGACAGAAAGACATACCATATACTCTTCTGGGATTTCGGCTGGATAATGAGCCTCTCTGCCAAATATCAGGTAATATGGTGAGGATTTGGTGGTCATTTGCTTTTTAGTTCCAAGGTCCAAACATCACAGCATCCAGATACTCATCCCACAATTCTGGATGGTCACCAACAACCTTACAGAGGCCTCTGACAATGAAAGCACATGGAAAACATTCATATGAAAGATCATTTTAATTTTTTAATAGTTAAATGTCATGCATTAATGTTTTAGTTGAAGTGAATCCCATAAAAGTATAACATGTTATGCATTAAGCTGCATGCACTCCAATTTACCTCTGAATGGTGCCATTCATTCTCTCCGCCAAGCCATTGTTTGTGGGTGATAGAACGAGCAGAGGCTTCTTTTAATGTTTAACAATCTGCATACCCTTCTGTTGAGCTGCAAAAGCAAGTAATATACACTGACTATAAGCACATTACAATAAGAATTTAAATATACAACAGTCATACTAATATCTCAAAAAGAGATTTATAAAGACCAGAAATGGAACCATTTTCAAAAAGTTAATCAAATATGTGTCCAAATATTTTTGCCAAAGACTAAAGCACTTACAGAATTGACAAATTTTTTGCCTTGGTCACTGAGAATCCTTTTTGGTGCTTCGAACTGGTGGACAAATTTTATGAGACAGTTTGTCCCATCCTTGGCTGATTTCGACCTCAAAGGGTGTGCTTGTGGCCATTTTGTGAAATAGTCAATGAAAACACAAATATACCGATGTCCGCTGTTGGTTTCAGTAGGTTTCCCAATAATGTCCATCCCAACCAATTAAAATGGCTGAGAAACCTTAAAAAGAAAAACATAGTTACATTAATTAATTGTTGCAGCACTTGCCTGACAAACTGCACACTGGGAAACCTAATCAAAAACAAAAGCAATTCAGTAAGAAACACAACAGTAAATTAATTTGAGAGATACAGAAACATTGCTGTGTTCATCTTAAAATAAGTTAGCTGTAGTAGAATTACAGAGTTTCTTTTGAGTACCCACCCAATTATTGACGTCCAATGACATCCCTGGCCAGTAGAAACGCTTTGAAATGGCTTCTCTTGTTTTTGTTTAGGTCAAAGAAAGGTCAAGCTAATTAAGACTAATTAAGACTACACATTTTGCCATTGTGTGTGTGTGTGTTAATATATGTATTGATGACGTTTATAAACGCTACGAAGTTGCTGTTATTACCTTCAATGTCGTAAATAGCAGCTTTTCTTCGGAGAAGAAATTTCTCTTTTTTCGTGAAAAGCGCTGGATACTCGCCTTTTAGTTTATTTGCAACCAAACTCTTGTACTCGTCTGGTTCCATCCTCTTGTGGTGTTGATTATAAAATAAATTGTTATCTTCTCGTTAGCTCAGAGGAACTCGGGTTTTCAGTTCGTGCGCACAACGTGAACTAATTTGAATAATTGACGAGGAAACCCACGTGACCTAAGATTTTGGAAAAATGTGTCAATGTTGGAGTCGAATAGGCCTACGAAAGGTTGCCCAAAACTGACTTGCAAATTTTTGAAAAGCCCTGTTACTGACAAAGACGTGTATATTTATATGGTTGTTTTTTTTTAATTATTTATTGTCAAAGAAAAACTCTGCTAACGTTTATTATTGATGGAGAGGACACACATTTTGGCAGACGCTGCCACACAGCCTGATAAAATCTGTACCCCTCTATAACCTTTGCTGGGAGGAAGAAATCCTCTCCAGAGTTACTGGGGTTATTGGTTATACTCTGATTCATTTTGCAAATAAACTCCTTCGTGATAGCACCGCTAATGTGCATTACAGAAATGTAAACCATAGTATCAACGTCTTTGTTTGGACAAACTATTCCCAGCAGATACTGGGAAGCACTTACTTCAATAGTCTTCCGCACGGCACATTACAATGTCACGAAGTTAGTATTAAAATCCATTCACGAATCGAGTCTGTTGTTTTCCAGGTTTACGCTTTATTGCGTGGATTGCAGATCAGTGACAAGTAGCGTACAGAAACGAAGCTGGGCAAGTGGCTCCTCCTCCTTTGCGCGCTCTCGTAGATTGGGAAACAGTTTTTGCCGGGGGTAACTACTTTTGGCAGGACACCTGAAACACAGGAGGCATACAGAAGTTGTTCCTCTCTGATGAAATATCCACATAGCATTGCGCTCCCGCTGCACTTACCGTGAGCCACCATGCCTCTGAGGCTGTCTGCTGCAAAAAGCCCGCTTTCCAGATATTTCCAATCTCTGCACAGCTGTTCAGCACGAGCGTTTGGGTAAGATAAATCCGAATGTGGAAGAAGAGCTGTGAAAGTAGGGTGCGGGTGATAAAAGATAAAATATATTCGTTGCTTTTCCAGCGCCAGAGCCGCCTGCCTCGGCTCGGTGAATTTAAAAGGTCGCAGCTGTCTGACTCTGAAGGATTTCAGCTCAGATGAAATCAAGAAGCTGCTGTGGGTCTCCGGAGACCTCAAGCATCGGATCAAGCACGAAAAACAGGTATTTAACTTTAATTGCAAAACTTCAGTACTTATAGTTGGTGTACTCTGTGGTCTCTGGATGTGTAATTAAGAGTCATTTCTATTTCAGTATTTGCCTCTTCTACAAGGAAAGTCGATTGCAATGATATTTGAGAAGAGGAGCACCAGAACAAGAATGTCCACAGAAACAGGTGTCAGTTTTTCTATGCAAGCATATGCATGACGTGGCTCAGGGTATGGGATTTGACAGAGGCAAGATATTTCATTGCTATATGTAGTGGTGTGGAAAGGCTTTTGTCCCCCTATTCTGATTTCCTATTTTTTTGTTTGTCACATTTAAATTTTTCAGCTCATCAAACAAATTTAAATATTAGACAAAGATAACGCAAGTAAACGCAAAATGCAATTTCTAAATAAAGGTGTTTGTTAAGAGGAAAAAATCCAAACCTACATGACCCTGTATGAAAGATTATTGCCCAATAAAACCTAATAACTGGTTGGGCCACTTTTAGTAGCAACAACTGAAATTAGGTGTTTGCGATAACTGGCAATGAGTCTTTCACTGCACCGTGGAGGAATTTCGGCCGCTGATCTTTGCAGAATTGTTGTAATTCTGCCACATTAGAGGGTTTTTGAGCATGAGCCGCCTTTATACGGTCACGTCACAGCATCTCAATCAGATTCAGTCTTCATTTTGTTTTGCTTGTGTATCTTTATATTTTTCATGTGTTTGGTTACTCATATATTTCAGGGGGTTTTTCTTATAGTCATTCTTTTTTATTTAATATTATGTTAAATTAATGGAAACTTGCTTCCACCACTGGAAAAAAACAACATTTTTTTTCTGTAAGTCACAAATTTAGGTTGTTATTGTGTATAAATTGAGCAATGAAAGTGATTCTGAAATTTGCTGTGTGTTTCTTTATGCATATAATGGATGCTTTCTCCCATTGGAAAAACAACAACAAAACACACACAAAAACATTGTTGTTATCCATAACTGCACACCTTCATGACGACCGTAACGAAACTTGGAATTTTCTTAACCTTAATTTAAAATTTTCAAGTTATTTTGTTCAATTTAGACGTTTTTAGTTAACTATGTCAAGATGCGAAATTAATAAGTTACACAATCTTTTGATAATAACCCAAAATTTTTATTTGTTTTATTTTTTCAGAGGCAGAAAGTTGAAGTTTTTCCATAATTACTGTTTCAATTATACATCCCAATATTTGCTTTGTAGCTTTTTATTTCTTAGTCAGCTTTTTTATTATTTATATGGATTAACTGAATCATTCTTGATTTAATATTGGCATAGATCCATACAGTTACACCCTACAGTGAGTAATATGGTCTTGTCACATCAGGCCAAAGTCAGTCTTTGTTTACATAGATGACATGTATGAATGAATGCTTGCTTTATTTCACTGATGAAAACATGCTAATGTAGCTTTACCTATAGGGATTAAAAGTAAAATGGTTGTCAGTGGTGTCTTACTGCATGGAAGGTCATTAAGCCAATAATTACATAAATTAAAAAACTCTATCCTTGTGCAGGAGCCCGGCTAATGCCATTCAGTGCAGTCATTGTTAATGTAGTCACAAAAGAACTGCTGAAAGGCGACTTTCAGTACAAACCCCCACCAAAACACTGATCAGCACTCCTCATTTCCCCTCTCCACCACCCCCACACTCCCCTTAGTGTGCACTCCTCTATATATTCCTGCCTGCACATTTACTTTAAGTACACTTTTTAAAGCACTAGTTGACTTTTAGGGAAACTAAAGGTACCTTAATCTTGTAACTCCAGGATTTTCTCTGCTGGGTGGACACCCCTGCTTCCTTACCTCACAGGACATCCACCTGGGAGTGAATGAGAGCTGCACAGATACAGCCAGGTGAGCTGTTGGTTTATCTCAGGGAAATAAAAGCAGCTGCAGGCTTTAACCTTTTCTATAGCAGTCTCCTCATGATTTTCATTGTTGTATGTAATTGCTGAAGAAGAAACGCAGTTTTTCTCAACAAGATTTCCCTCCTGGCTCAGTATATAAACCACAAAGTCCTTGTGCATGTCTGATCTTTCACAACAGGGTCCTCTCTGGATTCTGTGATGTTGTCTTGGCTCGTGTTTACAAGCACTCGACGCTGGAGGAGCTAGATAGGGAGGCTTCAATCCCCATCATTAACGGACTGTCAGATCTGTATCACCCAATCCAGATTCTGGCTGACTTCCTCACCTTACAGGTACTCTTACCCTGTGGTATTCTGCAATTTTAATGCACTAGTTGATAACCATGCAGTACCTGTTTTCTTTAAATCCAGGAGCATTACGGATCCCTTAATGGTCTAACGGTGAGCTGGATTGGAGATGGCAACAATGTTCTCCACTCCTTCATGATGACTGCAGCCAAACTCGGAGTTCATCTTAAGGTTGCTACACCGAAGGTTGGTTTCTTATTGCGCTATTGGATGCATGTGATCTCTCTCTTACTCTGGTCTTTGTATCTTATGTGTTTTTGTGTAGTTTGAGGTTAAAGGCAGGCAGTCAGCCTTGAGCTTCTTATCTGCGCACTTCTTGTGTCAGTAAGATAAAGTCATATCTTTGTGTTCAGGGGTACGAGCCAGACAAGGGCGTTACTGAAGAGGCACACAGGCTCGCCAAACAGGTGAGGTCCTCTAAAACCTGCCATTAATGTCTTCTAGTTTCAAGTATTCTGCCAAGGTTAATGTTAATAAATAATATTATATTCTGTCTCAGCATGGTACTCAGTTGATTCTGACCTCTGACCCCATGGAGGCTGCCCGTGACAGCAATGTCTTGGTCACTGACACCTGGGTCAGTATGGGACAGGAAGAGGAGAAGAAAAAGAGGCTAAAAGACTTCCATGGATACCAGATTTCTATGCAGGTAAAGAAGGACATAACTTTCAGCCAAGTAGTTACTCTCACCTTTTTACCTGTTCTTAAACACTAATATTTTTCAGATAAAAATCATTTATTTGCTATATGTTTGGGTGTGTATATGTGTATTAATGATACATGAATATATAACAAATCACGGAAAAGTATTGTTGTTGTTTTTTTAGATAAAGATGGATAAAGACAAGAAAACTGTATAAAAATGGTTTTTGAGAAAGTTTTGTTTTTATGCATCATGTCACCACCTATTGAAACTGGTTTTAAATGGTTTTAGTTTAGTTTTTCTGCGTATACAGGGAGTGCAGAATTATTAGGCAAGTTGTATTTTTGAGGAATAATTTTATTATTGAACAACAACCATGTTCTCAATGAACCCAAAAAACTCATTAATATCAAAGCTGAATGTTTTTGGAAGTAGTTTTTAGTTTGTTTTTAGTTTTAGCTATTTTAGGGGGATATCTGTGTGTGCAGGTGACTATTACTGTGCATAATTATTAGGCAACTTAACAAAAAACAAATATATACCCATTTCAATTATTTATTTTTACCAGTGAAACCAATATAACATCTCCACATTCACAAATATACATTTCTGACATTCAAAAACAAAACAAAAACAAATCAGCGACCAATATAGCCACCTTTCTTTGCAAGGACACTCAAAAGCCTGCCATCCATGGATTCTGTCAGTGTTTTGATCTGTTCACCATCAACATTGCGTGCAGCAGCAACCACAGCCTCCCAGACACTGTTCAGAGAGGTGTACTGTTTTCCCTCCTTGTAAATCTCACATTTGATGATGGACCACAGGTTCTCAATGGGGTTCAGATCAGGTGAACAAGGAGGCCATGTCATTAGTTTTCTTCTTTTATACCCTTTCTTGCCAGCCACGCTGTGGAGTACTTGGACGCGTGTGATGGAGCATTGTCCTGCATGAAAATCATGTTTTTCTTGAAGGATGCAGACTTCTTCCTGTACCACTGCTTGAAGAAGGTGTCTTCCAGAAACTGGCAGTAGGACTGGGAGTTGAGCTTGACTCCATCCTCAACCCGAAAAGGCCCCACAAGCTCATCTTTGATGATACCAGCCCAAACCAGTACTCCACCTCCACCTTGCTGGCGTCTGAGTCGGACTGGAGCTCTCTGCCCTTTACCAATCCAGCCACGGGCCCATCCATCTGGCCCATCAAGACTCACTCTCATTTCATCAGTCCATAAAACCTTAGAAAAACCAGTCTTGAGATATTTCTTGGCCCAGTCTTGACGTTTCAGCTTGTGTGTCTTGTTCAGTGGTGGTCGTCTTTCAGCCTTTCTCACCTTGGCCATGTCTCTGAGTATTGCACACCTTGTGCTTTTGGGCACTCCAGTGATGTTGCAGCTCTGAAATATGGCCAAACTGGTGGCAAGTGGCATGGCATCAGTTCATGGGCAGTTATTTTGCGCCTTGGTTTTTCCACACGCTTCTTGCGACCCTGTTGACTATTTTGAATGAAACGCTTGATTGTTCGATGATCACGCTTCAGAAGCTTTGCAATTTTGAGACTGCTGCATCCCTCTGCAAGATATCTCACTATTTTTGACTTTTCTGAGCCTGTCAAGTCCTTCTTTTGACCCATTTTGCCAAAGGAAAGGACGTTGCCTAATAATTATGCACACCTGATATAGGGTGTTGATGTCATTAGACCACACCCCTTCTCATTACAGAGATGCACATCACCTAATATGCTTAATTGGTAGTAGGCTTTCGAGCCTATACAGCTTGGAGTAAGACAACATGCATGAAGAGGATGATGTGGACAAAATACTCATTTGCCTAATAATTCTGCACTCCCTGTAGTATACACAGTTAGATACTTTCATATTAAGAAAACAAGTTCAAGGAAGGGAAGGAAAGTCTAAGTCACATCCCTGAAAATCCTTACACTCCATGGACGATAACACTTACCCGTGGTTTGATGCCCTTCTGTTACAGACAGGAAGTGTGGCCAAGTCAGACTGGACCTTCCTGCACTGTCTCCCTCGGAAAATGGAGGAGGTGGATGATCAGGTGTTCTACTCATCCCGTTCTCTCGTTTTTTCGGAGGCAGAGAATAGAAAATGGACCATCATGGTGGGCTGAAATGTTAACGCACAATGTGCTGTTTGAGTTTGTTTTAATCCCCTTTTAACTCCAGTTTAATTTTCTTTCAACTGACCATCACAACTGTCTTCTGTCTTTCAGGGCCTCATTGTTTCTCTTCTGACCGACTACACGCCACAGATCCCCGTGCTGAAGTTTTAACATCAGTTATTAAGAGGGACTAAGCTTTTCTGTGGCATGGGATGACTTCAAAGAAGACTTTTGCAATGCTGTCATATTGTAACTTCAGGATAGAGCTGCCATGTGGGAGCGTGGGGCTGTGGTGTGCTTCTGTTTATGTGTAGTAGGTCTGTGTGTCAAAGTGCAGAGAACCCAGGAATTCCCAGGACTCGCTTATTGCTCACAGTTCTTATTTCACTCTTGTGTGATGTGTCACCACAGCTGCCTTAAAACTTCAGTGATGATGAAGAACTAGAGGTTAATCCATAAATAAAATACCCCCACTGATTTTGTAAATGTTTAGTGCATATCTGGAATTTGCAATACACCAATGATACAGAGATACTGTTTAATAAAATGTATTTTGTGACCATGGGCCTCACTTGAAGCCACTTCAGTCAATTGTTCAATTACTTTTAAGCCTCTGAAAATGGGGAAGTGTATAAAAATGCACAATATTTTATCATAAAACCCTGTGAGTTTAAGCTGAAAGTCTGCACTCACAAAATCACACTATGACACCGCTTTATATACTACACTTGCAGAACTAAACATGTTATGTGTTATTGGCTGAGTGCGCCCCCTATGGGATGGAGCCGTGAAGCCTTCAGAGTTTTTTCATTGGATAAGCGGAGGTGACGTTTTAGTGCGGGAAGCTATGATCTACGTGGGTGGTCCAGCTGGATAAAACGATGCAGCTCAGTAATTCATTCATAAACAAGCCGGCCTGTCATCAAGTAAACACTCACGCACACATTCACATGGCTTTGTAAACACTACTATAAACGCACACGGTGCGTGTGGCATCCGCGAAAGAATACACTATACTTTCATCGTTGTTCTGCACTTGTCATAAGGATTTGATCACAACAAACTCCACACGGTTAAATTAAATAACGTAAGCTGGTTCAATGGCAATATTATAAAGCAAGACAATGCTCTTAAGCGACCACCCACGTACGGAAGGAGACTGCTCGGGGAGGGAGTCGAAGCTGAGGTGGGAGGTGGATGGGGAGGAGGACGCCATTGCAGCCGCAGCTGGCCGTTTGTGAGTCGGCGGAGGAGAGACATTACCAAAGTGAACAATGTCGACTGGCTTTCAGGGATTTCCCTGGCTCGGCTCTCTCTTCTGGGGCTGTGGTGTGGAAACAGAGGAGTAAGATGGACGTTTTATCCCCGTCGAGAGTGAAAATGTGGAGCCGCAGCGCTGAGCCTAAGCAGGTCAAAAAAAAAAGAGCCGAGTTTCAGGGGGGACAATGGGGGAAAGTTTTGGCTAACTAACGGTAGTTTTAGCTAATGTTAGCGTTACCGCTAACTCACCGTGCTGCACCTTCTTCACATGTGCAAGATGCAGTTTTATTTTGTATTTTTTTACTTCCATATTCACGCTAAATCAAAAGGTTAACACTAACAGGGAAACAAAATAGTGAGCTTTAACAACAATTACGCTTTTCCGATGCGAAATAATGTGCAAAGATAATGCTTTCCACTAGTGAAAGGCTTTAACTGTGACCGAAGACGTTTTAATAGTGAAAAGTTTACCCTGGCTGTAAACAGAGTCTTTTAACGTGGTGAAATCTAGTGTTCAAATCCTCCTATAGTTTTTTAAAACTGCAGTAAATTGTTGCTGGAGTTATTGTTATACATTAGTAGAGTTATATTGCTAGTACATAAACACGTATGGTGGGAGGTGGTACAGTAACCAGTGTTTGTTAGTTTTATTTCTGACATTCTTTTTCATCTGTAAACATTTACTTTTGTACTTTGAACCTTAATGTGAAACGTGTGTGTACCACTTTACTTAAAGCCGTCACTATTTAGTATTCATATGTAGCATACATATTTTATAAATATGTAAAATTTGTACCATGGAGCAAAATTTGGGTAAATCCAGGTAACTCCAGAGTTTAGCCTCGACTGTGAAGGCAGTTCACTTCTTACTGCGGTATATCCCCGTGGATGAGCTGCAGTCCTAACCTGTTCTAGATGAGGTTATGATCAAGATTAGACCTCAACCACGTCCTGTCCAGTTAGTTCTCCGGAATATATCACGCTAAGAAGAGTGATCTACTACCTACTAGCACAAAGGGTGCTAGTAGGTAGTAGGAAGATCTGAGGTCTTTATCTTTCTCTAAAGAGCATCTGTAATTAATATTTAGTCTTAGATGCATCTTTATTCTGTAATGTTAGTTTTCTCTGTTGGCTGTAAACTTGTTGTTGTTGTTTTTGCTCTATAAGCATAAATATTTGTCAAACCAGGGCATCTGTTTGGGGATTGAACTTGGCTGTAGATTAGTTTGAATTCGTTTTTTTGCGTTTATTCTTTTCTCACAGAGCGTTAAACACTATTGATAGTTTGTCTGCAGCAGCTGTATTATGTGTTTAACCTCTGAAAATGACCTGTGCATGTTTTTGATTGCTCAGATCCTTCCAACGCTTTAGATTTGATAAATCCTGTATTGACTGCTTCATGTTACCCTAAGCCCGAATCCTGTTGTTGGGCTAACTAAAGCCAGATAACAATATCCTGCGCATGTTATCAAACTTGCTTCATAGTACAGGTCCCTGGTCTTTGCTATTAGTTTTTGTGCTGCAGAAAATAGTAAAATCCATGAGTTGAGTTCCAGCTGCATGAATGTAGATTGAGGGTTGAAGGGTTGTTTTTCGCTGTAATTCATGATATTGTTTTGTTTTTTTCTTTGTCTTAGTTTGGCAATTTATTTTGTCTAATAATGCCTTCTCCTCAGCAGTCCCCCACCATTCCTTCACCAGTCCGGTGGCCCAGCTTCTCACCATGAACACGAGCAGGAACTGTACCACAGTGGGGAATGGCGAGGGTCTGGCTGCCCTGGAGTCAGTCTCCATTGTGACCATCACGCTGCTCGCCTGCCTCGGGAACTTTCTGATTGTGGCAACCCTTTATCGCAGGCCTTATCTGCTCACACCCAGCAACAAGTTTGTGTTCAGCCTGACTCTGTCCAACCTGCTGCTGTCCGTGCTGGTGCTACCGTTTGTAGCTGTGAGCTCAGCAAAGAGAGAGTGGATGTTTGGGGTGGTGTGGTGCAACTTCACCGCCCTGCTCTATCTCCTCATCAGCTCTGCCAGCATGCTTACCCTTGGAGCTATCGCTATCGACAGGTTAGTGCCAGATTATACTGTATTATATTGTAGCCCTATAATCAATCTAAGTATTTAACTTGAATTCTTTTAAAAAGTGAGCCCTTACACTGACATTAGGACATATGGTTCCCTCCAGCGGAGAACCTGTAGCCCATTTTTGGTCTCTGCTAATTTCTGAGAAAGTTTTAGCTGATTAATGCATCACTATATTATTAATTTATCCCAGATGTTGGGAGATTCTGGCATCAAATGGACTAGAGCATGAAATTTAGTGTTTATTTAAGTCCTGAAGCTGGACGTAACCAAGACAGTAAAGTTACAGTAAGCATAGGAAACTGAAGGTTAGCAATTTTCCACTTCAAGCTCAGATGAACGTTATGCTGAATAAACTTAAAAAAAAATGCTCTTGGTGCATTTCCCTCTAACGTCACACTCTTGTAAATAAGAGCGGTTAACCACAGACTTAATTTGTGGTATTTTCCTGTAGATTTCTCTGATCAGGTGATGAGCATGGGCTTAAATGCTTGAACTTTAAATGCCTGCTTAAACAAATACATGGAATAAAGCCAGTAAACATATTGCACAAAATTTATAGACAAAAAGTTATAGATATTTTAAGGCACTTTATTTATTCCAACAACAAAAAAAACATCTTTGATATTTGGGGTTTCCTAGTTTTCATTTTCTGGTTCCAGTTTTTAGACTCGATCGTATTTTGCCAATATTTTGTGCAAGTACTTTGTGTAATAACAAACTCAAATGGTTATTCAGACACAAAGTTTAGTTTATTTTGCTTTACTTGTAAGAAAGGGAGAATTGTTAATTAATTTTGGTAATCAAAAAATATACAGTAACATACGATACCATCTCAGAAAATGTCCTTCCAGCCCCATTATTTGTCCATCAAACATTCCCCGGCTGTGAGGTTTTCTCTATGTATCCATGTTTTGTTTGATTGCAAATTTAAATTCTTTGGGTTGTGGCTTATTTGTTCAGAAAACCATGCAATTAGGAGACACCTTTGGGACTCGAGGAAATTGTTAGCAGCTGTTCTGTTGTTTTCCTAAATGCTAGAAAACGCCTGAAATGATTAATCTGATGTTCAGACCAATAATCAACAATTGAATGACTTTTGAGATTAACACTAAAGTTTCAGCACTTATAATAACTTCTTATCCACATGCACTGCCTTTCAGATTTTCTGGAGCTACTTTTAAACCGCTGCAGTTGAATACTGTTTTAATTCTGTCGGGTGTCGCAGAGCTACCGAGAGCTACTGTAAATTTTCTGTGTAGCGCACAGTTCCTGCTGTTCTCACTGCTCACCTAATTATCCTCAGCATCCTTTGGGAATTTTAGATTACAGAGCCTGTTTTTGTTCTTCTGCCAAGCCCGTCTGTTCTCTTCTGTTTGCAGCTTTTAGGAAAACATTTCACAGGATTGTCGGGGAGAGAGAAAAGTGCAGCTTTTAGCTTTTGTATCACTGACTCCAATCTCAGCAGCCTGTGTGCTAGTCTGATCAAAAGTCTCCCTGGAGGACGGTGTTGAGTTCCTGTTGTGCAGATTTCTTCATCGTGCTCATGTCTCCTCACAACAGGTACTACGCCGTGCTCTACCCGATGATCTACCCCATGAAGATCACAGGCAACCGGGCGGTTGTCGTCATTGCCTACGTGTGGTTTCACTCGTTGGTAGGCTGCCTGCCTCCTCTGTTCGGCTGGTCCTCCTTTGAGTTCGACTGCTTCAAGTGGACGTGCGTGGCGTCGTGGCACAGAGAGCCGAGCTACACGGCCTTCTGGGTCACCTGGTGCATCCTCCCACCCTTCTTCATTATGCTGGCGTGTTACGGTGTCATTTTCCGCGTAGCCCGCATGAAAGCCCGCAAAGTTCACTGCGGGACTGTTGTTGTGGCCCAGGACGACTCCACTGGAGCCCAGAGGAACGGGCGTAAGAACTCGAGCACCTCGACTTCCTCTAATGGAAGTCGGCGGAGCCTCGTGTACGCAGGGAGTCAGTGCAAGGCTTTGGTCACCATCTTAGTGGTGATTGGCACCTTCCTCATGACCTGGGGGCCATACGTTGGGGTAGTGGGCACTGAGGCCTTGTGGGGTCAGGGCAGCGTGTCTCAGTGGGTGGAGACTCTGGTAGCGTGGCTGTCTTTCTGCAGCGCGGTGTGCCACCCACTCATCTATGGCCTGTGGAATAAAACGGTGAGGAAGGAGCTGCTGGGGATGTGCTTTGGAGATCGGTACTACAGAGAGTCGTTTGCCACACGCCAAAGGACGTCCCGCCTCTTCAGCATCTCCAACAGAATCACAGGTGGGACTATAGCTGGGGCTCTCTGTGTCATGCAGATGTGTGTGTATGTTGCTGGTTTTATCTTTAGTAAATGCATAAGGCTGGTTTAGATTTATATTCCTGCGGGATGTGATGATCTCATGAGAATTTGTGTTTTCAGACTTGGGGATGTCCCCACACCTGACTGCCATGCTCGCGGGTGGAGGACAGCTGTTGGTCCCAGGAAGCAGCACAGGAGACACTGGCTTCAGTTTCACTCAGGACTCATGTAAGTTGCACACGGAAAGGGGGAAATAATTGCTTCATATCAAAAACTCCAAGCAATCCTCAAGTGCTGCCAAGAGCATGCCAAAGGAACAGGTGGCGATATAACCCTAAGCGTGAAGAAATGTACTATGTACTAATAAAAACGGTGCAGAGTCTGATGTCCACATTTAAGTGCAGAAACTAAGATTTTGGAAAAACTTCATCCTGGCAGGAGTTTTTCAGTGGTCGAAAGGCAAATACACAGAAAAGCCATATTTACCAAAACACCCATGTACGTGTAGATGTAGCACAAGCTGTCTTACCATTGTGTCCATTTTTTTTTTTTTTTTTTACTAACAGGACATGATATTAGTGCATCTAATTAAAATTCATACATTTCTGAACCTGATCTTTCAGCAGCTCCTCTGTGTCCTTTTTGCCTGTGTTGTGAGCTTTTGTATCCACAACACTGTTGTTTCAATTCGTTTTTATAGGGAGTTGACTAACTTCAATAATCATTGCAGAAAAGTTATAAGTGTATGAAAAATTTAAATTTGGTAAAAAAAAAAACCCCTGCATATTATCATGCATGTCTATTAGTCCAGGGGTGCTGGAGCCTATTTCACCTGCCAAAGGGTCAAAAGGTTGGGTAGACCCTGGATGCAGATGAGGATCTGAAAAAATGACAATTTGTCATGTGTACCTTATTAGTATCTCTTCTATGTAGACTTTACAGATCCCCAACCCCGAGACTGAGGCGGTTTGATGATTGTAGGATTATCGTGTATTTTATCCCTACAGACTCATGAATAAAATGAAACATCCCTCAAAAGGTTGATTCTGTTCATCTGGACGTAGAATTTTTCAGTGGGAGAAAGGTTTCGTCACTCATCCAAGTGACTTCTTCAGTCTCAGCCGACTGCAGGTTTCCCCAATCTTATAAACAGTACATTTGCATAATGATTGAAACTAGCACCACTGAAGGAACGATGGGCTGGGAGGTCAGTTCCATGATCATTAATATGTAAATTCTCATGACCATTGATCAACAACTACTGATCAAAGACCAATGCACTGTTTATAAGGTTGGTCAAAATGTCAAAAGTGTTTGATTGGCCACCATAATCTGCTTAAGTTTTTAAGCTGACAGAAAAACTGAAGGTATTCTGAAAGTTAAGAATATTTATATTTTTCCAGCAGCATTTGACAGCTAATCGAGCAGTTGAGATTCTTCATAAACATACAGCATTGTCACACAGTCATCAGCCTACAGAAACTTACCAGACCGTGGAGTTTGTTAAAAGAGCTCTTTCCTGCAGCAGACCGAAACACAGTGAATCGCTGCTGTTTGGCTTCAAATAGAATTGAAGGCATGCTCCTATGGGTGAAATCCTTTCAGCGCCTGGTCGTTTGTTCCAGAATACTTTCACTCTAGAAAAAAATGCTACATAAATACCTTTTCATTTAAGAACATACTGAGGGCTTATTGAGAACTTTTTGTCCAATTATGCCAAAAACATGCTGCATCGCCTAACTTTGATTTAGAATTTATGCGTTTCTAGAAAGAAAAGCATCATACACCTCTTTGTTGGACAGCCTTTTTGTTTTCCAGCTCATGTTTTTAACTGATCCTGTAGGGAGGGCAAGTGGTGTCATGTTCAACACAAACAAATGTCTTGTGATCCACCTTTGTGTGTACATTTCTGGCCATATGGTATGAAGATTACTTTTACTGCAACTTTCCTGCAATCTCTGTTAAGTTCTGCTTGCAGTTAACTTGCAATGATCCTCTTTATTTTCCTACACAGGCACAGATGTGATGCTGCTGGATAACTTCTCCACAGATGGCTCCTCCCTCGCGCAGCACCACGGGCCTCCGTCCGGGAAAAGGAGGAGCTCAGTCACCTTTGAAGACCAGGTGGAGCATTCCAAAGGTATCCGTCATTCATTTCCCGCTTCTACAGAAGATTAGAGAGCAGGGAAAATACCTTAGACTTCACATGATACACAAATGACCAAAAAAAGAAAAGAAAAGGGACCAGGCAAGAGAATTGTTTACTGTAGCTTGTGTTTACCAAAGCTTTGACTGATGTCTGTTGATTTCCCCAGCTGAAAACGCATCCTCAGTCCAGATCCACGCAGAGGTGCACAAATCTCTCGACATGTTCGCCTCCTGTTTGGCGAAAGCCATAGAGAGCGATGCTAAGCTCACCCTGTTTGGGGAGAGTTCAGCTCTGTCAGCAGGACTCCTCACAGCGAGGGCCACGCCGAGGCCCAGATACCTGGAAGGCCAGAGACTGAGGCTGGAGAGTATTGATGAAGGGATCGTTAAGGATGACAGAGGTGAAGAAGAGCAGGATGGAGAGGAGAAACCCACCTGAACAGTAGCTTTCCCACTCTTGACTAGGGATGGGTACCGGTGTTCTGACATAAACGGTAGTAACCAGACCGAAAAGCAGCGCACATTTCGGTGCTTTATTTCGGTGCTTTTTTTTTCCTGAGCTGTGATACAATTCTAGCCAATCATTTTAGTTTCCGAGGATAGTAGGCGGGTCCAGGTACGTACGTTCTTTTAGAGCAGAGCTACAGATTAAAAATGCTCAAGGTGAAGCGGTCAAAAGTCTGGCTGTACTTCACAGCAAAATATGCAAACTCAGCAGCCTGCAACAAGTGCTTTAAGCTGATACTGTGATACTGTCAAAGGAGGTAACACCTCAAATCCGATGAAACACCTGGCGATGCATAGTGTTTTTTTTTTTTGTTTTTTTTTTAAAGCCGAGAAATGCGCCGTATTTGATAGCTTGCTGCGAGACCTCACACCGAGCGCATCTACTGCGGGTGTGGTGCCTGTTATCAGACCCGGAGTTAGCAACATCCCCAAAAACACGAAGAGGAGAGTCCTGGCCCCTAGCCCTGCCAGTGTAGCAGAAATGATGACGGATGATGATGCAGCAGCAGCCGTTCTTCTCTGCGTGAGTAGCTTAATGTTGTTCGTGTGTAATTTACGTTGAGTAGGCTAACCACGTTATTACATGAATGCAGGTAAGGTGAACTAGCAAACAGCGTCGTAGTTACATGCGGCTGTCCTCTTGTTTGATGGCAGATACTCCCTTCACCCTGGCCAAAAAGGCTAAAATGACCAAAGAAAAAGAGGGAAACAGCTGAACATGAGGTTTTTGGATAAAGTTTGTGTTTTTTCCATTGTTTAAGCACTGCTTCCAGCCAAGAGTGATACCATATATGCCCCATAGCTGCAGAAAAGGCTAACATTGTTATCTTTTTACAAAAAAACAGCTGAACATGAGAGGTTTTTGGAACAATTTTGTGTTCTCCATTCTTTAAGCACCGTTCGAGCACCAGCACCGTTTCAAAAGTACCGATTTGGCACCGGTATCGGATAAAACCTAAACGATACCCATCCCTACTCTTGACACTGTTACAGAGCTCTGTGGTACCGCTGATGAAGTCTGCCCTCTTTACATGTGGATACTCCTTACTTGAAATTATTAGCGAACAGGAAGAGGCACGTTATTCATTCTACGATGTTGCACCCAGTGCATAGCATCAAATCTAATAGGAAGCCTTAACTACTGTAACTTCATTGGTCTGATCATTTTATTAACTTCTGCTATAATATATATTATGTTATTGTATGTTTTTAAGCTTAATAAGAAAAATTGCCTCAGTGGGCAAAATGGAAAAAAAAAAAAAATAACAGCATTTTTTGACAGATTAGCTCTTTTCAGGTACAATTTCTCTCCTAACATTGCACTCAGTAAATCCTCACTACAGGTTTTCCACTCACTGTGGAGAATTAGACTGTGAGGTACGTGTTTACTCAACGCAGGACAACCTGCACCTTTGTCACTCTTACTGGTACAGGATGAACTCCAGTAATTTGAATTTGCATGGGAAAGAGTCATTTTCAATATTATTATTATCACCGTCACTTTGCCTCCTGCAACAGTGAAGTTTTACTGATTTCAGAGGCATCACTGGTAGATTTGGAAAAACTAGATCACCTGCAGGTTTAAATGTTAACGTTATTCCAGCCTTCTCTTCCAATGCATAGTGATATCTTTAAACATAGGAAATTGGTGGATACTAAAACAAGTTGCTTTGGAGTGAGACAGTTTACTATATTTATGTACTGTTCAGTCCAGAGCGATGTACTACGAAGGAAGTTCAACCATAACCAAACCACAACAACACTTGCCTCAAGGCGCTTTTTATTGTAATCTATAATAATATTGACCGTACAATAATGGGGGGAATTCAGTTGATCCGCTATGAGCAAGAACTTGGTGACAGTAAGAAGGAAAAACTTCCTTTTAACAGGAAGAAACCTCCAGCAAAACCAGGTTTAGGAAGCGGTATGTTTATTTAAAAAAAAAAATAAAAAAAATCTGAAAACACACACTGACAAAGGAGTCGTTGAAATGGCTTTAGTTTGCAGATCAAAGTCAAATTAAGTTAGACTGAACAGCTGTTCTGTGTTCTAGTAGCTGCAGTTTCAACAGAGTCAAAGACACTTGGTATAACAACATTTACACACTTCTAAATGACCCAATTAATATGTGCACATTCCAGTGACAATGGGATGCAGTTTGCATTTTGTTCAGTGATTGTTAGTAAAGGTACGGCATAACACTTTGCATATATGAACATATTCTGCCAGCAAAAAATCTAAAATGTTTGTTAATATCTGTAGCATGAATAAGGTGCCTGCTGTAAGCACGGCTGGAGGCCTGGTATTTCATGATTACGTGCGACTGTGGGCAAACACAGTTATTGCACTTAAACACACAATGGGTACTCTTTCACTGCAGTTTCTTATCAGTGAAGACCGAATGAGCTAACAAGAAATGGAGATCATAGGAAAATGAAGTCCAGAATCAATAATCAATCTTGTTGATGTCAGAAATATGTTTGTGTGTTTAGTGTTGAATCAGAGGAAACCTGAGCATAGGGAATATTCATTGGTACACTGGGTTGTACCTCATCTTATACACTCTCTGTATTAGGAGACAATTTTTTTTTTTATACATAGAGCCCAGTTGTGGTGCTTCAGTCTTACCTCGTATGTTGAACATGTTCTATGTTTGTAAGAAAAAAAATGTACACCTGAGTGATGTAACCTTTTCATATACAGTAAGTGTTAATACAAATGTTTGCATTAAATTTAGTTTTTACATAAAACATCGTTTGAATTCTTTGTCTGCTGTGAATGAGAGCTGAAGCCAAACAGCAACCAAAACATTGAATCACTGAGCTGTTTGTTTTTCTTGTTCTGCAAACAAGCCGCACAGTCAGCATCACCTACAGCTGTGTTGACAGCTTGTTACCTGGATCATAAAATACTTTATGCTGCAGGGAAGAATAAAAGCTGATACCCCAAACCTCAAGACATCAGTAACATTAGTTTATCACCTCTATAAATGTGAAATGACTTTAACGAAAATGTTCAATGTGTTTCTTCCTTAAAGAAAAAGTTCTTGTTTGAGCCCCAGATTTGGGCCTAAGGTGAAAGAACCTCTTGGTCTTCTTTCCAAAATGAGCTAAATCTGCACTCGTCTCTATCAGGCAGCCAGGAGTAATCTTTGGCTCTGATTTCACTTAATACATGTCAAACTTCTGTTTCACTCTTGTTTTTAATCACTTGTAAATTATTGCCAAGTTAAGTCCCATTGAGTTACGCTCTGAACTGGAAATTATTATTCATGTACTTATTTCATCACATGTGGATTACTGTAATTGTATTTTTACTTGTCTAAGCAAAAATGTCCTTGGAACATCTGCAGGTTTTTCAGACCACTGCTGTGAGGCTTCTCACTACATATTCCAAGTTCTCATGTCACACCATTGCTCTGCCAGCTACACTGGCTTCCCATTGATCAGAATCTGCTTTTCACTTTTAGAGCTCTTCACAGACCAGCACCTGTCCACCTTTACACCCCATACCTGCCCAGCAGGGATGCATGGAGGTAAAAGGAGGCCCCCCAGAACACTCTGCTTCTGAGCTTGAGATCTGTGGACTCTGTGGTCTCATCTTTTTAGACTTGAGGTGGGTTAATTTTTTATGTTGATTTTGTTGTTAAGCGCTTTGTGATGTTTATCTCAAAAGGTGCTATAGAATGAATCACTTTGACGAGTCACAGGGATTACTTGTCCAAACACTGGTTCACTTTTAAGTGATTTCCACAGGAAACTGGGTTTGGACCAACAGAGCGGCTGTTCAGTAGCACTGTATGACATAGGTTTGACCCAAGATCAGCTGCTCTGTACACCCACAACAGCTGTCAGTATCTGTCAGCAGGTGCCGTCTGTTGCTGTAGTCAAACACTTAGTCTAAATTTTTCATCCAAACCCAAGTGCAGATATATTTGAGATACCATTTGGCTTTATTTTTTATTTTTTCCAGGTTTTGTAAAACATATTTTTGGGGAGAAGATCCACAGCTTTCTTCCCCCGCCCCCCTTTCTTCTTCTTCTTTATCAACAAGAAAATTAAAGCATCCGTGTTTTACTTTATGTCTGTATTCACATGCGTAACTGCCGGAGCAGCACATCAACATTTCTCAGCTGTGCTACAGTTTCAAAAACGTCAAACGTTAACACTGATCAAAGCTCACCTTCTCCTAACAAAATAATATTGCACTTAAACTTTCACACCAGCCACCACTTTTCCTCACACTTATATTTTGACGTCCTTGCCTTTACATTCACACAAATATAGTTTATCCTCATACAGACACATCAGTAAGAAAGTCTTCTTAAAAAACACAAGGGGCTAGAAATTACACTAATTTTCAAAAGGAAGTTTTTCTACACTATACTTGTACAAATCTCGGGTATTTTTCAAGTGCTATACAGCAAGAAGAAATAGTGTTTATTTTAAAATAAAATTCCAGCTGGCTACTGCTCGTCCTCGTTTTCCTGGCCTGATCCTTCGGAGCGATCGCCTTCTACTCGATCTGCAAAGAGGAAGAGGCAAATATTAAAGAGAGGCTGAGATTGGTCTAACAAAAACAGCGTGCTACATGCGTGTGTGTGTGTGTGTACCTGATCTGATGTGATTGAGGGAGGCCAACATTCGAAGCATGAAAGAGGCCGGGACTGTGATCGTGTTTCTCGTTTCCTCCAACATCAGCTCATTCCGAGTGATGACCTTGACGAGAAGAGAAGAAGAAAGGTTTTACGGTGGGTTTGTTTTTTTTTCTTTTCTTTTCTGTGGGTTGACTCTACCTCCTCAGCGAGGACTCTGTTGAAAGACGGCGATGCTTCCAGTGGCGACCAAATCTTGATATCATAATCTATCCCTGAAGAAGCCAGAACTGAAACAAAGCAGGAAATGAGAGCATTGTCAACAAGTGAGGAAACATTGTCCGGGTTCAGGCGGGACATCCGCGGGACTCACTGGGGTCGTAAGGGTGCGGCTGCAGGCAGTTGACCACGTGGTTGTCGGCTTCAAGTAGCATGAGGTGCTCTGCGGTGTGTCTGTCCCAAATGAAGATGTGGCCGCAGTCTGAACCACTCATCACAAAGTTGTTGCCCCAGAAACACGACTCCTTTATCTACACACAGTTAAAAGGGAACATTGAGTATTTTGGAAACTGTACTCTTCAAATTTCACAGTCTGATGACAACAGTTAAAACACTGATATCAGAGCCAATGGATTAATATGAGTTCAGACTAATACAACACGCGTGGCCCGAGGTTTACCATTGTCCTGGAGTTGCGGTGGCCTTTGTAGACCATTTTGACTGAAGGTCTCCTGATATTCTGAGTCTCGCTCTCCTCCATCTCCCTCCTTTCTTTCCTCCTGCGGAACAGCTCCTGAATACGAGCTGCTGCTGATTGTCTAAGAAAAACAAAACAAAGAAGAAGAAAGAAACCCCAGACTCATACACGTGCCTGAAAGCAAACAAACCCATGCTGTCAGTGCTGCCTCAAGTCTCATGCTTCAGACCTAAGCTACACGGATATTTTTTTTTAAACCATTAACAAGATTGTAACAAACAAGCTCCAAGCGAGAAAGCAGCCACTTGCAAGCGAAAGCACCTGCCTGATCCATCATAACCGACTCAAGCCAATAAAAGTTTGTTCTTCTCAACCTTAGAGTGACTTCAACCAGATATACACTGTAACAGTATTGTACACAAAGCTAAATCCAGAAATGTTTTAATGATACAATTTTCATAATTTTGACCAGACAAGTCACCAGAATAGATCCGAAAAATAAAAGAGAGAGAGGGGGCAAGAAAGACATAAAGCAAGTGTAGCCTTTCAACTTTAATTTGAGGAAGGTAATGGGTTAGCATTTATGGAATTATGCACACTGCCTAATTTTGGGGTTGTCAACTAAATAATTCACTCAATTGGCATAGAAAAAATATGTTATTACTACTTGAATTTAACAAATAAATAAATAAATAGTCTAGAGGGGATTCCATTCTTGGCATTTGCATTTGGGAGCTGTTGATGTCATGGTCCTGGGCCATGTGGGCCCAGTAGTCTTAGTTTTCATGTATGTTTGTATTTTGTTCTTTATTTAGGCCATGCTTCCTGGGTTGATCTGTTACGTTGTTCCTTATGTGTTTTCCCGTTGTGACTCTCACCCCCTGTGTGCCCCTCTGTGTATTCATGAGCCCTCGTCCCCTTTCGTGTTTATTCCGTGTCTCCCCTGCCCGTTATGTTGGTGTTCTACTCGTGCTCTCTCTCCTCCTGTCTGAACCTCTGTACTTCCTGTTTCACCTCGCCCGTCTCCCGTCAGTGTTGTGTTCACTCCTGCCATGTCTCGTGATTATTATCAGTGTCACCTGTGTTCCCCGTGTGCTCCCATTTCCCTCGTTAACCCTCTGTGTATTTATGTCTGCGTCTCCCTCAGTTCTGTGTCGCGTTCTCCCTCATGCTGTGTGGATTTCCCTGTTTCTCTCTCCTTGTGCTTTAGTTTTCCCAGTTTAGTTTATTTTGTATTGTTTCTCTTGGCCAGCAATAAAGCTGTGTTTTTTGAGTTCATCCCCGTGTGTGTGAGTTTTGCGATTGGGTCCTCATCCTGCCTGCCACACAGCGAATCATGACAGTTTCAGTAAAACCATAACACGGGCTCAAAGAAGCTCTAAATGAAAGGAAAACAGGCCACCATTAGGCTGTGACACTACGAGTGGCCTAATAAACAGCCTGGATGATTACAGGATGAAGAACTCCACCACCAGAACGTCTGGTCGAGTGAAGAACTCTCAGCCACATGCAGTAAAGATCACGTCTCGATGGTCTCCTTCACGTATTCAGTAGTCATGGAACACGACTGCAGAGACAGCAACTGGCTTCCTCCATCAATCCCAGCTCTCAGATGCTCTCCCATCTCTTCTGCCTCCTTGCAAAATTGTTTTGCAAGGAAGACCACGTTACATAACCACACAATCTCATTTCATTATTAATTTCTTCACTACAGACAGAAGCTCTTCTGGAACTAGTGGCTTGCGTCAGGTAGGGGGTGTAACAGGGAGGTGATGGGTAAATGATAAATGAACTGATTCTTATGTAGCGTTTTTCTACTCTCCTGGAAGTACTCAAAGCGCTTTTTACAACATGCCTCATTCACCCATTCACACCCACTCATACAAGCACTTCCCTTCTGTACTTAAGTGCAATCTAAGCATTCACACACAGATGGACGCATCGGAAAGCAACTTGGGCTGCATGCCCAAGGATACTTGGCATGCAGACTGGGGAAGCCAAAGATCGAACCAACCTTCCAGTCAGTAGCTGATCTGCTCTACCACCTGAGCCACAGCCACCCCACATGGGGAGGTCTGCACAGAGGTAGCAAGGTAGTCAGGCATTAATAGTCTGCATAAATCTCCTAGTAGAGAAAGGAAGTTCTTAGTGAATCGACAGTCAGAGGCTGTCAGTCAGCTCGACAGCTTTGTGCTCATAATCAGGATGAGCCACCAGGGGGAGGAAATCTACTTTGATCAAGTTTCCAAAGGTAAAGAGTTGAATATTCTGCAAAAGGCACCATAAAGGTCGAATTAAATCAAATATGATGTTTTATCTTTAAAAAAATAATTTGCGGACAGGTTATTTAGTTACATGTTCATCTACATTTGAGTCCTAAAACGGTTAAATAATTTTTTTCAATCCCCTCAAATTAAAGCCAAAAGTGCTCATGAGCTGCCACTTTCATTTCAAATCTACTGAGATGGCATACAGCGTGAAGTTTATGAAAATGCCACTTTTGTTTAAACCTTTGACCTCGCTGTGTGTAAAAGTGTCCGTTTTATATTCGTTTGGCTCCTTTCTGCAAGGATTTCATGCATGACACTCATTTCTTCTCCATCTGTTCTACACAAAATGCAGCTGTGATGCTTCTGTTCACACCATTTGTGGAGTCAGTACTCACATGCACGGCACTCTACAGTCAGCTGTGTGTGTTATTAGTGCACTGTGAGAGAAACCGTCAAACCAAGACAAAAGAAAAGAAGTTATCCGATTACTGCACATCACGTTGTGCTCTTAATTTTAAATGCTCCGCAGCATGTCACACTCCTGATGCATTAGATGCGTTCACTTTCCAATGCAAACAGATTACCTGATCATCCTATCTCCTACTGCAGATCCTCTGGAATTAAATCTATATTTGTAGTAAAACAGTCAACAGCAAAGCATCACAAATTCTAAAATCGGCACACCCACCCTCTTTTTAACTGAACCAAGGAATGCGAAATGATCACCTGCATTCAAACAGAGTTTTTCCTTACTTGTAGTAAGAAACATTATGCTCTCAAACACACCTCTGCCCCTGTCCTCTGAACCTTGAGGGGGGGATAAGAATAGGATCATCATCACTGTCATCAGAGTCCTGGTTGCCGCGTGCGGGCTGACTCTGGCCCTCCACGCCCTCCTGCCCCTCCTCTGTAGAGGGCTCTGCTCGCCGACAGCCCCCTGACCTGTCCTCTGTACCTTCCGGCTGACTCCTCTCCTGCGGCGAAGACGCCATGCTGTCTCCCTCAGAGGAGCCCTCTGCTGGTACCTGAGCTGCTGAGCTGCTGGGGGCACTGGAGCAGGAGGCATCACATGCTGGTTCTACGGAGGAAGCCAGCAAACTCATATCATCGCAATCAGGATTGGAATACAGTAAGCCATTCATTGTGTCATGTTTATTGTTCTAGATCAGACAATGTTTGAGATAGAGGCGTTTTCATGATGCTGTAGGAGACGACTCACCCTGCTCTGATACCGAGCTCTCTGTCGACAGACTCTCTCTGCTCTGTACAGCTGCAGCTTCTGATGTTTTGGGGCCTCCACTGCCCATCGAACTGGACGTGCTGCTGCTCCTGTAGTGAAAGAACAAGAGTTACCATCAGTCCTTTTGGGGTGTTTTTTCCTGAAAATTACTCATATTTATCTGGGGGAAAAAAAATAAAAAATATGGGAAGACACAAGTATCATGCAGTTGCCCCGACTATAAGAAGGTAACTCCTATTGAGTTACCTGAATTTGAATGGAATGAGTGAAGTTGCACTGGAGACCTTTGCTTTTCATTCTGTCTGTAAACACGACAGCTCGAAAAGTTCTGAATGAATTCTGATAAAACTCTGTCAGGGTGTAAGGTGGGTTCATGTTAACTCTCCATTAAAGTTTGGCTTACATCCACCAACGTCTTCACTGTCAACTTATTGATTTATTTGTCAAAAAAAATTGACCAAAAGCCTGATAACTTAAAAACTATGACTCTCACAAGCGTGGTGTGTGTTGTCAACACATACAAACGTATACAAAGCACCGTATGAAGATTTAAATGATCATGTCAACCTTATTTATCTGAAGGTCAACATGAGCCAAATTAAATTTTATTGTCATTTATTGTATTGACATACAGGTATACAGAGGAGGAGATATGAGGATTATAAATATGAGATTATAAAGTTCATACAAGTATAATGTCATATTGAACCTAGGAAGCTGACACCCACTGGCCATCACTCACCACTCATCAGTGAAGTCCAGTTTGATAGTGCTGGTGGTGGTTCCCTCTGAGCTGTAGTGCAGGCTGAGGACAGGCTCTGCTGCACTGGGTCGACTGGTGGAAGTGGAGGTGGAGATGGATGGGATGCTGCTGGCTGGTGCAGCAGCAGATTCATCAGCAGGTGAAGCTGTAGCTTCGGCTGCTACTGAGAGAGGAAGAAGAATACACACAGGCAAAACAAGCAAGGGGGGCTTACTGAGACGCACTGGCTGTACAGACTAAAACTGATCAAAAGTAACTCTTCCTGTCGTTTGCAGTGTGCAGTTGGTCATTTAAAAACACACCACAAATATGCAACTCTGTGTTGCATCCATTCCCTCTGATAAACAACATTAAACAGAAATGGGAACATGCAGCAAACGTTAGACAAAACCACAAAGGACACGTCGTAAAAGACACGTATTGACAGACAGCCACAACAGCAAGACACAAGACGCACACAAACACACACATGTCAAAGGCCCTAAAGGGTCATTACACCTGTTAGCTGCTAGCTACACTGAAGAAAAGGAACAGGTTTCCAGGGAAGATGAAAATTTGAGCTGGAGGACAAAGAGGGACTTGTTGCTAAGATGCTACATGCTATATCTCTGTCAGTATGCACTGTAAATAATCACAGATGTAGTGCTTCATATATAAAGCTATACAGTACACACAAAGTATCTTGATATTATACTGTTGGTGTTGTATATAAAAAGTATTATAAATACCTCTGGACTCAGACCTTTGTCCTAGAGTAGTTAGAAAAGTTATTTATTAGTAGTAACTGATTGGCTGCCCCTAGCAACCAGAAGGAGGTGGGTGGAGCTTGGGAGTGTTCCGATGGAGGATGATGTCAGCGATCGTGAGCAGTGATAGCTCCAATCAAAGCAATAATTTTCTGTAATTTCCCCAGTGATCCATTAACTTATCATCATTATTATGAGAGTCATATTAAAGTGAATGTGCCTCGCTCCATTTTCCCAGTTGCATCTGCACACATAAACATCTGCAGCACAGGCGTGTCTGGGCATGCACATAGGCTTATGCCTGGCTTCTTAGAAGTCAAGTAAGTGTGTAAGTGTAATAGTTACACTGATCCACCATCACGAAATGAGACAAAAAGATTTTTCTGACCCCCTTTTGTTTGGCACATTGTGCATTATGTGGTGCGCAGTGAGGATTTTATCAACCATCAGCGATACCAAAAGGGGACTTTACTACTGTGCAAGTTGTTGAACCCTAGAGCACTGATCACAGGTATACCTGCATATTCTAAAGCCTAGAATTACTAAGATAGCTCAATATCCAAATCTCTGATCATGCTTAAGATGAGCATCATCCACTTTTAATTATCCTCTTTAAATTACAACACAGTAAAACGTTTGAATTAAACTGAATATGACATTATTTTTAAATTAAACAAAGCTGTGTAGATGGTCCACTCTGATCAAGAGAAATCAAGAGTGAACCATTGGGGCTTTTCAGGGTTGTTGTGAAGTGTTTATGTAACAACATATGTGCCTTAGAAAGACCATTGTTTTGCTTTGGCACTATACAAATAAAACTGAACTGTTAAAGATGAAGCCACATTAAATCTGACTACCAATGCTAATCATTGCAAAGGAGAAATGTCAGATGTAGTAGGGCATTTTAGAAAAAGCTAAATATTGCACAGATGGTTCAGCAGCGAGCACTGAAATGTATATATCTGAGTAGTGCTTTTCTTTGTCATCCATTTGAACTAATTTTGGAGATATTGTTTATTACATTACTCAAAGCTCTAACTTCTTAAACAATTGTATTAAATCCTTTGGCCAGAGCAACAGTAACAGTCAGACACATCCACATCTGGACAGTAGAATATTGAACAGTAAAGCAGTGGATACAGAGAAAACAAAAACATGAAATCGATGGAGGACAAACAGTGGAGTGAGACAGGATGAGGGAAAGTGGTTAAGACAGAAGGTGGAGAAGACAAAGCGAGTGGCAGGGTGAGGGTCAGGGAATGGGGTTGGGGAAGGGAAAGACGCACCCTGCTGTTCATCAAGAGTCATGGATCCCAGCTGTTTGTTTACCACAGACGAGGGGGAATCTGGAACACAAATGAGACCAACTAAACATTGAACAAAGAGGTCAAACGTGAGGGCTCACACGGGTTAAAAACTTCTAAATCATGTTTAAAATAAATGAATAAATAAATAAATCCAAGGCCAAGCAGAAAGAGCTTTCACATCAGCCAAAAATAAAAAAGCTCCTTCATCTGATAACAGCTGTGATCGGTTTACAGAGTGTTGGGGAAGCTCAGTGAGAATCAGCGATTAGTAAGTCTGAACGGAAACAAGAACATGATTTTCATGCATGCTTTTTACAGATGTGCAAAGAAATGTTTTATATCTGCCGTGTTATGTAGAACCTGGAAATCCCAACCATCAAGAAGTGCTTACTTGAGCTTGCCACAACAAAACAACAACAACAACAAAAGAAAAAAACCCAACAACATCTGTTTGGCTGCTGGCTACACAACACACTTCTCCAAGATATCTGTGACCAACTAAAGCCAATTAAGTAAGAAGAAGCAATTTAAATATTGTGTCTACTGAACTGCACAATGACGTGTTCAATAAAAGCTTTCATAACAGATGCCTCATTATGTAAAGCCAGTTTTGTTGTGTGTTTAAAAATCGGTTTATATCTTTAATATTAAAGTTGTACCTACATTTTTAGAGAAAAAAGCTGAAAAAGTGAGAGAAGCTCTTCGGGTTAACTAAATGCTGTCACATTAAAACTGAAGCAGAACAAACTTAAAAAATAACTTATTAATAAACATATATTACATAATCATTATGTGATTCGAGGGTTTTACTTTATTGCTTTGCGCTCGGGCACAGACAAGAAAAAAAAAAAAATGTTGAAATGTTACAAATTGTTGCAAATAGGAAAACCGAGCAATAGTTTTGCGGTCTTTCCGAAGCTCCTTCAGAGTCAGTCTGTGGATTCCAAAGTGGATGCTTTTTTGCTTATTTTCACTCCAGCATTTCAAAAAAAAAAAAAAATTATTATTTTTTTTGTTTGTTTCAAGCATTTTAGTTCAACTCAAGCAAGTAAAATCACTTATGTCTGTTTATTTTTTCTGTTTGTCCACCGGCTTTTGAGTATCGAGACACATTTACAAAACGGGCAACACTAACTGATGGAAATAACCTTAATTTTAACATCAGCAGTAGGTGAAGCCAGTAATGTGACCTATCCAATGACATTGAAGAAAACAAACAAACAAAAAAAAAAAAGGCAAGTTATATCATCAAACATGGTTGAACAACCACATGAGCCATGAGGCCAAAGCAAAGCTTCATACCGTCTGGTGCCACTCCGGCAGGAGAGTTTGCAGGTGAAAACTCAAGCAACAAGTGGAAAGATGGAGTGAGAGCATTAGTGAGTTAAGGGCTGAGCAAACAGTGGAGAGGCGACACACTGGACTCTGGAGTTTAGAGGAAGTAAGGGGTGAATAATAAGAGAGCGGGGAAGATCAGTGTGTGGTTAGTGGTCAGTAACAGCAAGACTGGGTCTTTCTGGAGCCTCTCTACAACAGACATGGCCGTCTTTGCTTAAAAGGCGGGGACGGGTTAATGGCAGGGGAGCAGCCCTTATGGAGGGATTGCTGCAGGGTTGATGAGCTCGGAGGGGTGGGTAACCTGTACAGGGTTGGTTCTCAGGAGCAGCAGCGGCAGAGGTAGCAGCTCTTTGCGACTGTCTCTCAGGGGCTGCAGAGGAAGAAGAAGGTGAAGAAGAAGAAGGAGAAGGAGAAGGGGCCGCTCGCCGACCCCGTCCAGGTGGGTCAGCCAGCCGGAGCAACCTCTGCAAACGCCTACACACTAAACTTATGGGCAGCCGATGAGGACCATACTCTGACAAAGGGGCAGAGGAAGAGAGGAAGAGTGGATGCACGATTAGAAGACTGACGGAGGATGTGAGGAGAAGATTCGGCACAGAGAATCGGGCAAAAATGAAATAAACAAGCAGGAGGAGGAGGACAACAGGATGCTGAAGGAAAATAAAGTGAAGTGAGGCTGCTGCTTGAGTGGAGTGGCTCCAATGAACACACACCCACACATACACACACGCGGACACACACTCATACACCGAGCAGTTAACCCTCCTCATTGGACTGAAGGCTTACATGTGAACAGTGAGTGTGAGTGCGGTCCTGGTTTCTTACCTGAGAGTGCGGGCTCAGAGGTGGGCGTGGCCGTCGGGGTCCCAGTTGTGTCACCCTGACTCCGCTGCTCTGAGTCGGGGGACGACGTGAGAGGGGAGGAAGAAGTGGCCGAGGTCTCCACTGATGATGAGCTGGAAGGAGGAGGTGCTGTGACTGTTGATGATGACCCTGAGGAGGAAGAGGAGGTGGATTTAGGCATGGGCGCAGTGGTGGCCGCTGCGGGACTGGCAGGTACCTCTGGGGAGTCCGTCCCCACAGGCCTCTCGGGGGCGCTGGACTCCTGACTAGAGTCGCCTGTTGTGGCAGCTGGAGCATTCAACGTCCCCTCGGGACGAAGAGCTGTACCTGAAGACAAAAAAAAAAAAATCAAGCAATGATTTTAGATTTTGGCTAGTTTACGGTTTATTATCACAGAAAGATTCTTAACAGTCAGTCTTACTGAAGTTTAAGCACATTAATGAGTCAATCGTCAACAAATTCCTCCATAGTGACAGTTTTAAGTGTAAGCCAGAGTGAGGATGTTAGGTCTTCTTAACGCAACATGAAAGACTGAGTGATTAATAAATTAGCTAATTCTTCCTGAAAGGGATGTAAACGAACAAGTGACGGACGACACCCTGAGACTACAAATAAAGCATTAAACATGTGAATCTGCTCGGTCTGAACTTCATGGTTTTATCCAGGAGATGAAGCTGTATCACAACCACTTCGTACACATTTCAGGATGTGAGTGGAGCAGAGATGAGACTGTATTATGAGAAACCCGGAGCAGAGTGTAGTGTCTGAGGTAAAAAGAGTATTATTTTACTATATTCATATCACTATATATTCAGTAGTGATGTGCATTTTAAGCTACGTGTGCATTTGCTGCCAAATGCAGTGGTCACATTTGTTCATTTGCACGTTTAAAAAAAAAAAAAAAAAAAAAAGGGGGGGGGGGGGAGGGGGTGAATAAACAAGTGGCATTCTCATTACTCTGCACTACTTCATTTAGAAAAGCCAAACATCAGGTCAACCTGACACACCGATCAGGTTCAAGACACAAATAATTTAAAGACACTTTTTGGCCCGTTTGAAGGCCGGAGTATTGAAGCCTCACCTCGGGGCCGCGTTTGAGGTCGGGTTCCTCTGCTACTCTGGGCTTCACTGGCCTCCTCAAACCACCGGGACAGCATGTCCGACATCCTCTGCATCAGAGACACGTTCGGACTCTGCTCCCCTGGAACAAAAAAAAGGGAAAACGTCTTTAGATCCTGTCAAGCTTTTCATTTTGACACAGTCCATATTTATAGAAACAAAAAAAAAAAAAAAAATTGGAGTATTTGTACTCAAAAGAAACTGCTTATCATAACTGATCATATGCAAGCAGAGGCTCATTAAGACCTGCACAAGGATGACTCATTACACAAATTATTAATTTAATATATGAGAATTTAGGGAAAATTTATCCCCAAAAAATGACAAACAAGAAATCCAACTAGAAAAGAAAAAAACCCAACTTGTGAACAAAGTAAAGCACTCTGAAACGGTCATCACCTGAAACCCGAAGATGAGTTTTTCCTCCATTTGACTGATTTTTTTTAAATTTTATTTCTGAACAAAATAAACCACAGTAACAAAATAGATTAAACAACTTAAACTATGTTCATCTATGGTGGAAAAAACCCTGCGGCAGGAGACTGCTCCAAGTCATTTGCCTCAAAGTGAGGTTTCTACTCTCTCTGACCCAAGCAAACTTTGATACACTATAAAGAAGTTCAGCTTTTTACACACATTTTCACATGAATATGTGAAATATAAGCTGTTACTATTGCTCCAGAGCTTTTTTTTTTACCATTTTTCAACCCAACCATTATTTTAGTTGGATGTTTGTTCACTCTTATTGCTATTGTGTCTAGTTTGGGCCACTCTGCATCAACTATATCAACTTTAAAGGAAACACTTTAAATCGGGTTTACATACTCTGAGCTCCAGTTCAGTTTAAAGGGTAAACTTGATGGATGCATCAAGAGAACTGAAGCTCAGGAAGAACAGCAGGACGTTCAGAGGTCAGGTTGGATCTACGAGATAGTGAACCCTAAAAACTCAGATGTATTATCAGTGTGAGTGTCTGTGCCAGAGAGAAAGCACTGCATCAAAGAGAAAAAGTGCTGCATGAAAGTGCCCGTTACCAGGTGAATGTAGCTTGTGCTGAAAGTGCTCTGAGTGTTCAATAAGATGGGAGCTGGGATTTAAATGCATTTACCACAGATCACTGCACTGTTGGTTCTCTTTTTATTGGTTATGTTCATAAGTTGCAGAGTTGGTGGTGAGACAGTTTTATGGCCCGATTTCTTCTTCGTCTAAGATTACAAAATCAATATGGGGAAAATATATTGCTAAAAATGAAGGAAACGCTTGAACAACTTTAACTTTTTGGTGTGATTTTGAACCCAGTCCTCAAAGAGTTGATGATTTTTACCACTGAATGGCAGTCAAGATTTCCAACTTGAGGATTTCGTTCCTAAGAGATCCAATGTGTGATGCAAGTGTTCCCTTAATGTTTTGAGCAGTATATAAAAATATATTTTGCAGGTTGGAGTCTTCTCAGAGTTTGTCAGAGGTCGGGCCTGTCATACGAGACCGTCGCTGTAGACGAGCAGGAGCACATACTGTGATCTTACCATCTCTCTCCCTCTCGCTCTCAGGGCGAGCTCGGGGTCCAGTGTCAGACCAGTCACCTCGTAGACGGAGGCGCTTCACTGGAGGCTGCCTCAGCTGTGGAAACACACACACATTCACAGAGATTAGCAGTTTGTCAGTCAAGGCATGGTCAAAAATAGCTGCGCTGCCAAAGCAAAACACTACTCGTCTCTATCAGTGTCCTCTTTAAAGTGTTCCCCCCACCCCACCCCCTCCTCCTGGCAGCATGACTGAGGTTGCCTGCCACTTTCCAGTCCCCCTGGCTGCAACAGGCTGAGAGCCAGAAATAGGAAAAAGAGGTTCTTAGAGCAGGGACTATCCACCGCTTCAGTCAGGAAATGTGTGGACAGGTGGTGAAAAGGAGCAGAAGCTGAAAGACAGTTGAATAAATCAGATAAAAGGATTAAACAAACAAGGTCGCAGGTAGAGGAAAACAGAGGGGGTAAGGAACACTGCTCCTCGCCTGCCCCAAAATCAGCCTGAACTATTTTGGTGGTTTGAGGAACGCTGCCTGCGTCGCTCGCTGTATTTGGAAAGGAATGCGTGTGGTGGTTGCATCTAGACACAGCTGAACTTGCCATGGCACCGTGACCCAGCACATTCGGACACACGTGAAGACCACCACCGAGCGTAAACACGCAGTTTCCTTGATTGTTCAGTTGTTTGAATCTCAAAACTAACAAAGGAAATATAACTAAGACCCAAACAGATCAGGCAGTAATTCATGACGCTGTTTCCATCCTCAGTGCGTTTCTTCCTTCTTTGTATTGGGTTTGTTTTTCTCAGGGTCATTTGCTCACCTCCCTGCACTGCATCAGCCACCACAGATTTAGCACTGATGTCTGCAGGGCCCAGAGGAGCAACAACAAGGTCAGTTCTGTTTACAACAATCGGTCCTATTCGCCCCCAAAAATCAGCCGCATGGACACCTCCGCTCAGCCAGACGTGATTATGTTTATTTTCTATAGAGTCAAAAGGCCGTTAGCACTCTTAACAGGAGACATAACATGTGAGGCCTCCATTAACCTTCTCTGTACATGTTAACTTGAGATCTACACTCCAGTAGTCAGTCAGCTGATCAACAAGAAAAGACAGAGACTCTTGATTGTTTTGGGCATTTTACCCATTTTTTAAAAAGTGGTAAATATTTTTGGATTTTGCCTTAGACTGACAGATAAGGCAGATTTTTATTTTGTAGATCAATTATTACACACTTGGAATAATGGAAAACTGTCTAAATGACAGCACAGTGTCTGAACCGATATAAACCTTTAAAAGACACAGTTTGGGAGAAAAGAATGACAGAAGAAAAGTTCCTATTGGGATCTCACCTCCTCTCTCCTCTCCTCCGACGGGCCCTTGAGCTCTCGAGCCTGGTCATCTTTGGGATTGAACAGGTAAATGTAATCGGAGGAGTAGCTGACCAGCACCTCCTGACCGTCCTCGCTGTAGCAGAGAGAGGTCACTCTGCACGACTTGTTGGCCAGGTGAGCGGGAACAAACCGAACACACATGCCCGTGGTTCCCCGGCCCATGTAATTACCTAAAAAAAATGAGAGAGTGTGTGCAACTTAGCCAATGAGTCGGTGAACAAGATTCTTAATTATATTTGTGGATTTGGTCCAGACGATTCGGTGGGTTTGATATAAATGATATGTCAAAAGCAATTGAATGTGTTGAATGGAAATGTCTATTTACTGTGCTGAAAAACAGTTTGGTTTAGTTCAACATTTTTGACCTGGGTCAGAACAATCTAGTCTTCACCACTGGCTTTACTGCACACCAATTGCGATACTTGGCAGCGTTGCCGTCTTTCACTATTCCTCTATAGAATCCATAGCCACTGCCTTTAGAGCCGAGGAAAGGGTTACTGATGTGATTAGATACACATCCTGTCAGTCAGTTGGAATTTGGGTCAGATTTTAATCCTTTCCCTTTCGTTCAAGCCACACAACTTACCTACTTGAGAATCAAACTCACATGTTTTAAAAGGAATTCTAAAAACATCATTTTAAAACTCTGTTACAAAACAAGAGCTGGCGTGCTCAGGTTTACTGCCCATTAGTCACTGGAGGAGTGAATATACCGTATTTCCCGGACTACAAAGCGCACCTGAATATTAGCCGCACAAGCTAAAATCAGGGGAAAATCCTGTTTTGTACATACATTAGCCGCACCTGACTAAAAGCCGCAGGTGTTTCAATGTTGACTTATCATATGTAAGAGAATATGCACAAAGCGAATTGTCAGGAAAGAGATGGCTGTTTGGAGACACACCCTTTTATTAATATTTTGAAAAACAAGTTATGGGTACATATTTGCATAACTTTTTAGGTATATGTACAAGTAGCGGTAATTACAAGTACGAAACATGTACTGTGCTTCATAAACGAGTAACAAATGTAGTACATAACAATAACCTACAGCACACCAGAAAAATAGATTCGGCTACCTTTTAGGCTCAGGTGCAGTGACACGGCTTTAACAAGAAGAAAAGTCAGTCATTCACCACCATCTTTCTCTTCTTCCTGCGCACTAAAACCACCAAAGTCCTCTTCTCCAGTGTCGGAAACGAACAGGCTCAGGATGGCTTCGTCATCCACTCTCAGCTTCTTTCCTTCGTTGTCAGTGTCAGAGTCGAACACCCTCAGAAGGGCCGTGGCGGTGTCCTCCTCTCCATCATGCAGCAGTCCAGCCCTTCGAAATCCGTTGGTGATCATGGATGTTTTCACACTTTTCCACGCTGTCAGATTCCACCGGTGGAGTTGGGCATAACTTGCTTTTCGCAAGTTTATCGCCGCTACTCATCCACGCTCCCGCTGAACGCGTAGCGCTACTTTGAAGTTTGTTTTTCGCGCTACTTGTACGGCACTATGTTGCCTGGCGGATGGACAGTGACCAACATACCACTCTTGAACCCCGATACTGTGTGTCTGATCACATGCCCTTCCGCCAGGCAACGTAGTGCCGTACAACAGCGGAACAAACAAAACAAATCGTCTTACGATATGACAAAAATCATGGACAATCCATAGAAAAGCCGCACCTGACTAAAAGCCGCAGGGTTCAAAGCTTGTGCAAAAAGTAGCGGCTTATAGCCCGACAATTACGGTAATCAAGATGAAAGGTTTACCACGCCATCCCCGTGTCTAGAAGTACCCAAGTCTATTGGGCAGCACGAACAGCCAAATTAATAGACTGGACTTCTGCCTGAGGTGAAAAAAATCAAAGTCCTGTCTGCGTTAGCAGGGGATTGGATATCAATCCAGTAACTGTTTGTTTTTTTTAAATGAGATCAACAAAGGCCAAAGGAAAACAACTTCATATCCTTAACCTTGTTGTAGAACGCACCTTAAAAACCTGGTTCCAGTTTAGAAAACCTGTTTGCATCAATCAGCTATGCTTCGTTTCTCCTGTGGTGAACAGTTGTCTTTTCTTGTTGTCTCAAACTGACGTTGTTTTCAAACTTGCCACAAAAATGGTCTGTATTTATTTATTCACTTTCTTAAGGATGTATTTGTGTTCTAAGGAACACTCGTTATTTCAGGCATTACACAAAAGTTATAACAGTCCAAATGACAGTTTTACAGATGCTCATAAATATGAATTTTTCTTATTAAAACATTTTACTCTCCCATATTTGCTGGCCAATAATATTATTAGCAATATACTAGATTTAGACCCCGGCACAAAGAGCAACACATCTAAAATGTACAGTAGGATCCAGAGTAATAATCCACCCTCATTATCTAAACACTGAACTCCTGGTGGAAGTGTAGCAACACTGCCGAGAAATGGCCCGAAGACTTATTCAATAATTAATCAGACAAATCTCCATCTTTTAATAACTGGATCTATCGACCTGGTCACTATGATAACGAAGCTACTGCTGGTCTTGTTAGTGTATGTAATTGTGGTATACTCAAACTTATTGTTGAGTTAAGGAGAAATGTCCATACTTTTTTCGTCATACACATGTACTGTGTTTATCCCATTAATATCCACATCGATTTATTAAATCAGTGTTATTCTTTTTCTTTCTCCATTACATTTGTAATCTCAGTGGGATAAGCGATAGGGAGAATTTAAGTTTTGTTTAGCTTTGTTTAGAAAAACTATGAATAAAGTTTAATAAAAAAAAACAACTTGTTGGCATGCCTCACACCCTACTGTTTAAACAGTCTGTTTAAAAGTCTCTGAATAAAAACACTGACTTGCATTCTGTGTAGGAACAACGCTCCATAAATACCTTTTATAAGCAGTTGTCAGAAGGATTTAAAACACACAGGAAGAAGTAAAAATACTCGTGAAAGTATCTAAAAATAGAAATGTCCAACAAGAGACGAGGCACAGCAGGCTGGGACCAAAAACTCAAAGGGAGATCCTCCCCCCGCTGCCTTCATGTAAACGAGAAACTGGTTGAACATTCAAAGCAAAAACGGACATTGCAAGTTTAGTTTCTCCACCACAACAGGCTGCGTTACCTACACATTAACACGAGGATAACGAATTTGTGACGTGTAGAGTGGCTAAGTCCACTGTGCAGGGCTGCTTACCCGTCGCTCTTGTACCCAGCATGCGTCTGTCGTAGATTCGTACTGAGCTGTCGGAGCAGCCCACGGCCAGGTAGTACGGCACCAGCGGAGAAATTGATATGGAGGTCGCTGCTCTTCTGCAGTTTATCAGGATGTCCTGAAATGAAAGAGCGCAATGAGGTCTGGAAGTCACTTCTGCTCAGTAATGGCAGATATCACTGATTGAGAATAAATATTTTTTAAAAAATGATGTAAACTAATGTAAAACTGATGCCTGCAATAAATCCTGTGTTGATTCAACTGTAATCATTTTGAGAGGTACTGTTTTAGAAGCTCAAGAGGTGTTTCTGTTGCTTTATGAGACTTTATGAAACCACATTAACATCACTGGTCAGACTAAAGATATTTGATGTCAAATCCCAAACTGCTGTATCACTCTGAAGTAGTTGCACCTAATAAAGTGGAGCAACTGCACTACCAGGTCTGACTACTGCAGGCTGATGATGGGGAGGCAGAGTGGCCGGTGACAGCAGCTGGTAAAACTCTTCTGACAGTTTTAGGGTAACAGGTTCTCATCTGGAGCACGAAATACAAGAAGATGCAACATAATCTAGGAGGACACAGTTTCTCTCTCACACACTCACTCATCTATCAACTGAAGCACGCTGGTTTAAAGCCAAAGAAACCACTTCCTAGAGGAGAGACCAAAAGCTGTTTGTGAAGAAAGCAGTGAAGTAAGAAAGGGAGGGGGGGGTCCATTATCAGTCCTGCATGAATACAAAGTCCAGTGAGCCATTTTTGAAAGAGAAAAAAAAAAAAAAAAAAAAGATATCCACAAACTCTTATACACTAAACACTGAAAAACTCAAGGTCAAGTTCCTTAAATGGGCTATATAAAGATTATTTATATAGCAAACAACAGTACAATATAAACTTATATAGCCCCAGGAAAAGCTACACTAAAAACCAGAAAAAAATAAGCTCAATACATGTTATCAAATATAATAAAAACATTTTTAAAAAAAATGTCACACTGGAGCCAAAACCCAAAGAGAATAAATTCATTTTTAATAAAGACTGTATCAACTAAGCTGTGCAGACACAGAGAGGGAGATTAATCCATAGATCTGATAGTGTTGCTGCAAAAGCTCGATCACCTCTCTGTTTTAATCTGGTTTTAAGGGCACCTGCCAGGGTTTCACAACAAAAAGATGGTTCTTCAATCGATCCCTCCCCAAAGCTACAAACACATTGATCCTGACCCTGACTGATGATGAATCACAGACAGAAAAAAGACAAACATCACAGATGTCACCCGTACATCTTTGCAGTCTTCTTTAGTGCAGCTAGTTTTCATGCGAAGGTCGAACCATCGCACCGTGCCGTCCTCCCCGCAGGACAGGAACGTGTAGGGGTCGTTCGGTACCGTCATAATCTGAAGAAACAAAGCGAAGCTTAGAAGACAGGAGGGTAACGAGTAAGAGAGAAACCCTTTTCATCAGCTTCTGGGAATCAGCACCTCATAAGCGGTTCCATAATGGCAGGTGAACTGACACTGTCTGTTGTACTCGGGACTCTTCTCAGTGTGGGTGTAGTAGATGATGCCGTCTCCAGAGCAGGAGATAATTTCCTGATCGTTGGTGTGGGGCATGAACTTTGCACTGAAGATGTTTGCCCGATGACCTGAACGTATTGACTTCTTGACCTGAAGCAGAGAAGAAGAAATGTATGATGACAGCTGCATCAGAGTGGATGCTCGACCAGAGGCAGCAAATCAGCAGATGAAAGAGTATAAAATGTTGACATCCTGGGGGATTTTTGCACACATTTACATAATTTTAGACACTAATGTGTTCATTTGTAGTATTTAGAGTTGCTGGTAAGTGGTCTCTGGGAGCAATGCCATGCTTTTTCTGACTGTTTCCAATCTTTGTCTAAACCCAAGCTGAAGTCAGATCCCTAAGTATTTGCACAGATACCATTTTTTCTGTTTTGTTTCTGCACACTGCCACAGCGGAAGTTCAAATAAATAAAGATGTGACTGAATTCAAGGTGTTTAACAAAATTATTGCATTTAGCAATTACAGCCATTTTTTATATGCAATTGGCAGCTGTTTGTAGCTTTTTATTTTATTGCACAGCAAAGAGGCCCAGCATGAACTACACAAAGACAAGAAGGCATACTGGGATTATTTAGCGGTTAGCCACAAAATGCGACTCTGCTGCTAGGTTTGGCGTTTGACATTTTGTTTTTTTTCCTTTTCCCCTCATATGACATCATTTGAAAGTCAAAGTATGTCAAAGAAAGAGAAACTAAGGGAACCACAGAAACTTCTCTTACCACTGTTGTAATAACAAAGATGAAAACACTCTCAAGACTCTCATAGATTGTTAGACACTTATGTAATTTTAATGTTTAAGAGTTAGAGTTTTATGATGAATACAGACTCAAACTGGAGACTCGGCTTAATTTAGATCAGGGGTGGGCAATTCCAGGCCGCGAGGGCCGGTGTCCTGCAGGTTTTAGATCTCACCTTGGGGTCAACACACCTGAATCACATGATTAGTTCATTACCAGGCCTCTGGAGAACTTCAAGACATGTTGAGGAGCTAATTTAGCCATTTAAATCAGCTGTGTTGGTTCAAGGACACATCTAAAACCTGCAGGGACACCGGCCCTCCGGGCTTGGAATTGTCCACCCCTGGTTTAGATTAACCTAACTAGACAACTACACAGACCAGGAGATCTCCTACCTCTATATTAGATAACAGTCACATTAAAAAACAAAAAAAACCAAACATACAAATTCCTGCTCAGCATCCCAGTTTTAAAGACTCGCACCACCCTCCAATTCACCACATTTCTGTTTCAGAAAAATGTGGGCAGATAAAAAAGGTTCAGAATATTGTGGGATATTTTTGTCCCAGCGAAACAAACCTTCAGTGGGTGGACATCCCTCACAAAAACAGTTGTGGAACATCCATCCATTAAATAATTCCTTTAGTTTAGTATCTCATCTGTGCTCTGCCAATTTAAGCTTTTTGTCCTGTTTTATGGCTAATTGACCATTTATGCAAAGAATAACAGTTAAAAATGATCAGTTTGGTGTTCATCCATTCATCCAACCTTTTTGTTGTAAGGGTTGGTGATGACCAGGAAGGTATCGTCCGACCCTGACAGGATGTATTCGCCCGTGTCGTTCCACGATATAGTGTTGACCTGAGGAGAGATCAGAGAGAGCGCTTACATGGTGTTTACACTGACAAACGCAAGTTAAATTCTGACATCCATTCATTACAGCTTCATAAACGTGACGACTTGTTGAATTTCTTCATTTTATGTAATACGAGATTGATGTAAAACAAATAGTTAAAAAATAAATAAGTAACTCAGTCCGGCCCCAAAATGTGGACATGTGAGAGAGGATTCTGCATGACGAATGTGAATTACTATCAGAGAAGCGAATAACAAGAAATGGCATGTCCCTGCACACAATTACATTTATATTATTGTCTTTTCTGTGCTTGTTAAGCATCAGCAACAAAGAAAATCCCTGAATGCCTTTGCTTCAAATCAGTAAGAAAATATGGATGCCATTGTCCAATTCAAATTAGGTTCATTAACAGTTCGATCAACTGAAATAACCACCAACATAAGGCTAGAAAATGAGTTAGCTGTGGATCTAAGGAACAGCAAAAGAAGAGTGATGCATCAGGTCAGTGTTTGCTGTCACTCTGTGGATCAATATTTCATTAACACCTGCAGCCTCCGTCAGCGCCTCATCATGTCAGACTGCCTCTGCTGAGACATTACACTGCGTGTATTCCTACATGCAGACCTGACGTCTGAATCAGGTTTTTAACATGTTTGACTCGGTTTCTGAGACGCTGCACATCATCTATAGTTAGATTTGAGGTGGAGTGTAGGTGAGGCCCCTCCTCACCTAATGAAAGATTAACAGATGGTGACAGATGAGGCAGGAAACGGTGTTATTTATTTATTGTGATGGCATTTTTAAACACAGGCTAGGGTTAGCATCTCGTGTAATGTGGTACAGTGCAGAGTCAGAACAGGTCAGGTATCTCACGGTGTCCACTGAAAAACTTCTGTAACTCCAAGCTTAAAATTTCTATAATAAAAAGTAATCAAAGTATTCACAATAATTCATATTCACTAATATTATTCTTCTGGTGCTAAAATCTGCTAAATTGACACATTTTAGGTGGTGCAAATAGAAAGTCTTTATCTGATTAATAACTTAAAGTGGACCTGTTACACTTATTGCTTTCTGTCACATATACATTGTTAAAAAGGTGGATGTTCATATTGGCCATGGCCAAAGCCTTAAATAGTGAGGTCAGTGTATATACAAGTAATCCCTATGAGCTTACAGCTGGGGTTTCAGGTTGCTCTGAATGCTGCGTTTCAGACTGTTTTTTCCACTCTTGGATGCTTTAATGTCAGGATGTCTGATATCCCTCATAGACTGACAATGAGCACAACAGCCCCTGCTTGTTCAAGTCATCTGTTTATAAGAAACAGTCAATCAGTAAAGAAGCTAAAACGGCTCATTTCAGAACATGGCTGAAGGCCAAGTATAGCTAAATAAAGATTATTTTGAAATGAATCATACAAGTCTTGTAGAGTCCAAGACAAAAACAAAACATACACCGTGTTAATACAGAAGCTCTTAGCTACTTAACTAAACACAAACTAACATATTCAGAAAATGCAATAATAATATCTCAATCATTGTGGCTAAGAGCTGCACTTTAATGCAGCTCTCCTGAGACCTGCATGCATGCAATGCTTGTTGTGGTGTCTTGGACAGGCTGATGTCCTGCCCTGTAGTGTGACAGGACGTGTGACTGTTATGTCAGCTTCAGGTTTCTCAGAGGAATTAACCACCTGACCTGATCTGATCTGTTCAAGGCTCCACCAGCAAGCTGAGAAAAAGTGACGTGGCGTGTTTGGCAGGGAGAGGACTTCAACCAATAAACACGAAGAGACGGATAAAAATGTGGGGCACTTACGCAGCCATCGTGTACGTTCAGTGTTGCTTCGAGTTTAAGCCTCTGGACAAATTCTCTTCTACCTGTGAAAACAGAAACATGTAGATTTGAGAAGGCTGTCAGGCTTTAAACTTTCATTTGAATCGCATTTATCTACCAGTCTTCACTTAAGTGCAACAGGAATAAAATGTCACATTAAACAGTGGCTCTGTAGCTTGTGTTCCATTATTCATGCAGTGGAAGCCTTGTTTGCACCAACAGGAAGAAACGAGGCGAGTACAAACAAAACCGCTCTGCAATAAGACTCGAAATGCAGGAACAGTGGTTCGATAGTTCACAATGTCAACCCTTAATATTTTATCTTATTTTTGTGAACATCTTTCTATTGTGACTGCAGGGCAAACACACACACACACACATACACCCCTAAGATTTCCCAGGTGTTTGATTAATTTAGCAACAAAATGACATTTAACTGGACGAGAAATCAATTCAAATAGCAGATATTAAAACACAGTTTTGGAGTAAGCAATTTAAACCTTGACATGATATTTATTGATAGTCCAACACAAAGAACAGAGACGCAAGTGACCCGGAGGCATTTGAAAGGTTTTACAGGAGGGGAGGTAAAGAGGACACAGTAAAACAAAAAGAGATCAAAGAGTCAAACACACAAAGGGGAAGGAAACTGAAGTAATTACCTGATTAGCAAATCACAGGAAGATTCAGGCCTCTGGATAAGTAGCAACAGGATGTGTGTTCTTCAAAGCATGTGCTATTCTAACAAACAGCTTCAGGGTCAGGGTCTCACTTTCTAAAGTCATCAGTTTTGCAGTTTTTTCATTCAGTTACAATCACCGCATGACGAACAGCAATATGGTCGTCCTGATGGATAAGTTAAAAAATTCTGTTTTTCTGATCATCTGCGTGCAAGCACAGCTGGATTTCTCACTATCTAAGGCATGTCGTCAACAAAAAGATAAGAAATCCAGATAAGGTGGTTATATTTGGCAGTCTCCTGGATCCAATAACATTTATCACACTGTGCACAGAAAGCTGGTATGCATCACAAGCATCTCCATCAACAGGTTCAGGCCGATAAGCGCACACCCTGAATGAGCCACACATGTCAAACTACTTCTATTAAAAGTCACACACACGGAAGAAGGAAAGACGTTCAAGGGTGCCGTTGAAACGTTTAAAAATTGGCTCAACCTCTAATGGTGGAACCGGGTTTCCACTAATAAACTTCAAGACAATCACAGAGGAAATCCACAATAATGGTGGTAAGATCAACTCAAAGACAATCAACAACAATACATCCAAGGATTTGAGTGAAAATGGGAAAATACCCGTGACAAGGCAAAAAGCAGTTCATTCATTATGAGCCCAATTTCCGTTAGTTTATCTGCTGTTCCCAACTTCCCCTCTATGAGTTTCACAACTTCGTCACTCTCATTTTTTTTTGACAAACACCAACATGGCTCACCATGTAGTAGGGCCTACAGGAAGTCTACCTGCAAGGAGTCCGTTAAAAGCATCTGCATGTTTGAATCAAACTCGGTAATCACATCTAGGAGAAGGTGAGAGTCCAGACTAAAAGAAAATGTTACTGGGAGGCCTGGAAGGAAACCAGCACAATCAGGACAATTCTGAAAGGAAGAAATAACCAACCTGTGCCTCAGATAAAAAAGGAAGAGACGCTTCGGATAAACCTGAATAACATGTTTGATATTAACAACGCTGACGCGGTTGTTTTAAGATCACACACACATCGTGAATTCCTTAACATCCAATGTGAGCCAGGGCGGTGTGTTTCACTGTCAATGTCAGCAAAGGACTACCAGAGAAAGCAAGACATTCCTTCATCATTGCAAACTGTCACTTAAAGGGTGAAGCCTGACAGGGAAAAGCAAACTGTGCCAAAGCTAATGTCCTCATCCAGCAGCAGCAATCAGGCCACTGATCATTATTATAGCAGTACTGCACAAATGATGAGCAGAAACGGCAGCATCTGCTACAAGACGCTGAGCAGCAATGTCTTCACATCCCTGATGGGGTGAGTGCACAGGCTCCCATAAGAACTGATCATACTTTATGGACTCTTCTTTGTCAGTCAGTGTGGTTGGACCAACTACTAGTCACCTCAAAAACTAAAACCCCATGTAACAGTAGTCAATAAACTTCTTTGTGCTAATATTTTTCTTTTATAAAGGTGAAGTATTTTAATCAAGAAGAATTTGCTGTCACAATTAAGCATTTATTGTATTAAATAAAAACATTATTCCAGTGTGAAAACAGCCTTTAAGGGAAGAAAAACAGAAATATTTAATTTTAAAATAAAGTAGCTGCTTTCCTTATGTTTTCCTTTATATTTTTAACTACTTTAGTAATAATGAAATGACTCAGTGAGCTGTTGCAAAAGTCTGGTGGCTTATATACCAACAAGAGCCTTAACTTGCTTCAACAGGTGTTATGAATGTTGCAGAAATAGTCTGGGAGTGATTCACTTCAAAAGCTTCTCTGATATCACCAATCGCAAGCACAGTCACGTCACCTATAAATGGATTAATGATGAGTAATGTACTAAGTACAGTCATGCCTAAATCTGCAACAATACTCAGATTCGCTATCAGTTCACAGAATCAAATGCAAGACTTTTTACATTCTGTTTAAAAATGTTCACACACAAAAAAACAGTGCAATCAAACTTGTCTCTGCTTTTTTTCAGAAAAATTGGTCTAAGTGGCTTCATCGAGCCTGGACCGCCAGCTTCCACTGAAGTTTTATAAAAGTTTTATAAGAGCACCTCCAAACCTGAGGCCTTGGTTGTCAGTTAGAAAAAGCTGGATTGCCCACTTGTTGGACCAAGTGGACGAGTCCAAGTATTTGGGGTTTGTTTACGAGTGAGGGAAGGAGGGAGCAGGAGACTGGCAGATGGACTGGACCAGAATCGTACCAATCTGCCTCTCTGTGTAAAGAGAGCCGAGCGTGAAAGCAACGCTGCCGATTTATCGGTCGATCAACATCCCAAACCTCACCTTTAGCCATGAGCTGAGGCTAGCGACCAAAAGAATGAGATTGCTGATGCAATTGGAGGAAATTATCTTACTTTGCAGGGTGGCTGGACCCTCCCTCAGAGCTGAATGAGGCACTCGTCATTAAGGAGAGACTCACAATGGAGCTGCTACTCCTCCACATTAAAAGGAGGCAGTTGAGATAGTGTAGGCATCTGACTGGGATGCCTCCTGGCACCTCTTAGTTGAGGTGTTTCTGCCTCCAACTGGGAGGAGGACCCAGGAAAGACCAAGTACACACTGGAGAGATTATATCTCTGCCTGAACCACCTCACTTTTCGAAGGCCTCAGTATCCCCCCCTCAGGTGGCTAGGGAGAGGGATGGCTGCTGCCCTCATGAACCAGACTCAGAGAAGTCATGAAGCAGACTCAGACTCGAAAAAGAGTGGTTGGCTTTTAAAATGGACTAAGTTTGCCTGTTATTTGTTTTCTTTATCATTTATTTGTAATTTCTTTTTTTAAACGATTTTGTTCTTCTACCTATACAGCTTTTGTCAACAATTGTTGATCTTAAATTTTCTTATAAATAAAATGACTTAGCATGATGTAACTTAAGATGAGTAAAAATAGTAATTCCTAGTTATATGAATCATCTCTTAGGCGTTTCCTATCACAGTTCTAGGAAAACCCTACAATATAGAAGACTTTAAACCTCACGGGACGTTTCTCAGTTTCAGCTGAATATAAACCCCCAACTTGTTCCCCTCTAATGCTTCTTCTAAGCTAAATTTATCCTCCAGGAGCTGTGACCCACACATCACAGCATGTATCCTCTACACGACAGCAGCTCTGACTATCTCTCAGACATGCTAAATACAGGACTGACTAAACCTCTGAGGCACCTGCCCCACCTCTATGGGCTTATAAAGCCGTGAGGTACAGACTTTCTGACAGTTTTATCTCTCCGAGTGCACCACGGGCAACATCCTCTGTTCTCCTGCACTGTGCTCTCACAACCAACACTCGAAAATAACTATATCTGCACTTTAAAAAAAAAAAAAAAGAAAAGAAAAAAGAGACCTACCTTTACACATTCAAATTATGACTGAATAATTTATCAATATAGCAACTTTCAGCAACCAGGACTTTAAAATTTTTATTTTTTTAAAGTCTTTTCCAGAGGACTTTAAAAAAAATAAACAGACTGAAATATATGATAGAAAAATATCTTCCCCCCAAGTTTAAATGCATTTAATGCAGCAGCAAAGAGGAAAGCCTTAAAATTCAATGATTACATTTCCTAGCAGATCAGTGATGAGCAGAACCGGAATGCTGTTTCTGCCTGCAGGAACCAAGGATGTAAGAAATAATCAACGCAGTGCAGCGCTGCGACACATTTTATTGACTGAAATTATGCAGTCCTATTACTTTTACTTAAAATTGCATTAAAACCTTAATAAGTTGCTGCATTTCATTCAGTGTGAGATATTTTCGCCTTCACCATTTCCAGATATTTACTATATATATATATATATATATATATATATATATATATGCTACTTTTATTGTATAAAACCTGTCATTTTTATTTAAATATTAATAAAGTAATTTTTCATTTACTACATTTTGTACCATTTTTGGTCCTTTAAGCTTGCTTCCAGTTTGGATATGATGCTACAACGCACAAAGGACGTAGTATTACTGATAAATGCTCACGTAATGTAAAAAGCATCAGTGCTCGAAAGTTGTAAATATAGGCAACTTGAATTGTTACCTAGATGTAATATTATTATTATAGCATCTTTACTAGCTGAACTTATTTTCCTTGTGTTCCTTTCTTTTGTACAATTTAACCTTTCTGAGCCATTTTCCTTTGTCAAATGTAAACTCTTTGGTTATGTGGCGTGTTAAATGTTTTGACTGCTGTAACATGGGAATTTCTTGGCTGTAACGATGAATAAAAATATCATTATTATTATTATTATTATTATTATTATTATTATTATTATTATTATCATCATCATCATCATTATGTCATCTTAGCTCATTTATTTTGATAGTCAAACAATTGCAAACTAAACCATTTTAATTTCCTCTTCTAATCCTTCCCGGCCCTGCTGGTTGTGCTCCTTTCAGCACCTTGTGGCCTTTTCACGCAGCAGTAATGACACATCGGTTTCTGTGAGTGTCTTGAAAAGAAAGCCTGATGCTGTCAGCACTTTCTACTGTAAACAGACTCCTGCCAAACTCAGAGCGCTTTTATTTTTAATGCACCAGCCTCTCATAAATGCATTACATGATTGAACCCTGCTTTTATTGCATTATTTGTGCCATTACAGGGATATACTTCAGACTACTATATATGGGGGTGCCTTCTACAGATGATTGCACAATCCTGCGATTGCACTGAAATGAGATCTACACTGCATTTCCTTTGAAAAAGTAACATTATGTCTGTATGATGTGATGAACAGGCCCGCACTGCTACAAATTAAGCACAAGTCTGAACCTCGTCTTTGTACTGTTTTAGCTCCTTCACTATAAATAAAAGGTGCAGGCTGTGTTTACACTGTGTAGGTTGGGGGGACGGGGGAGCGCGGATAGCGGCAGCTGTCTGTTATTAAGCAGGTAGTGTCTTGGACTGGGACACAGTCTTCCTGTCACTTCTTGTGATTCTGCAGCACACACACAGTCTGCAGATGCACACTGCTCCTACACGTTTCTTCATACATGTCAGCGTTAGCAGTAAAGAGGCATTGCTTTGTTCTTACCTAAATAGTTGGTCCTGATGGCGTTAGGCTCGCTGTATCCAATTAGGCGTTTGTTTACATCCCAAACGAGGTTGCCAGTGCAGGACATTGTGACCATATGTGGTTCTGAATTGACAATAACATTGAAACAGAGCTAACCCTTCCCCTTTTTTGATGTCGCCTTTTATCTCCCGTCGCCTCGGAGCAGTCCCTGCCCGTTGGGACGCCGTTGACGTTAGCTGGAGGAGACACTCAGTGTCCGCATTGCTGGAAGGGAAAGAGTCGCTCCTGTCCGGTCTCCGCTGTTCCCCCCCCTCCCCACTGAGCTGAAGCCCGACTGTGTTCCTGTTCTCCGTGCTGCTGCTAACTATCTGTCCTGTTAGCCTAGCCTGGTTTATTTCTTCAAGCGGTCAGCTGTGTCCAAATAACGCGAGAAACTGCGTGGTTGGCCACAGAGGGGAGGTGCGCTCGATTTTAGCGCCTTGAAAGCTGACGGTGCGGGTGCATCCAGTTTTTATTAGTATTTCTGTCAGTGGCCAAGTTAGCTTCAGGCTTGTCTCTTATTCAGTTATTACCGGTGGCTATGAATTGAATAAATGTCTTAACGATTTTTAAAAACAGTATTGACATAAGTGACATTTTGTATATGTATGTATAAAGGGATGTATTTACGGTGGCCCGGAGAGGCCAAACGGACTCCAACTTCAGAAAACACTTGCAAAAAGAAAAATGCTGCAAAAAGAAAAACACTTGCAAAAAGAAAAA